AAATGCCAGGCTCTGGGAGGGAGTTCCTTTTTTTAACCTGGGTGTGGAAGTTGGAGGTGAAGTCTACTCTCAAATGCTCTTGAGTTTGGGCAGATGTACTAAGGATTAAAAGGAAAAGCTTCAAAGCAACTGTTCTTCTACAGTTGTCATGATGTGATTTTTAAGTGGCGAGAACTGAAGCCAGTGTTTGGGCACACGTCGGAATGGGGGTGTGCTCCCTGCTCACACTGTGCACACACTGGCTTTCTTCTCTGAGCTGCCGTGCTGGTGCATGTTCTCGGTTGTGCACAAGTGGCACTGGCAACAGCGAGTCTGGCGCTCCTGGGGAAAATGGGCTGTCACGTGTTTCACCAGGTGAGGTTTGCCTCTGGATTGTTTCTTGTCCTCCTTCCAGGAGGTGCTTCCCTGTGGACTCGGTCTTGGCCTGGCAAAGGGGACGACAGAACTCCTGCTGCTGGAGAGGAGAGCTCTCTTGGCCCTGGGAGGCCCAGGCTGGCCTGTCGCTGGCAGCGCTGGGGCAGGGACGGTCCTCCTAAAACTCTGGTTGCCATGAGAGTGGGGATGTAGATGAGTAGGCCATAGGGTGCTGGGACACGGGGTCCTAGACCATGGAGTCGTGGGCTGCAGGATCCGTTCCAGCCCTCGACCTGGCCTGGGCTGCCCCAGGGACGGGGCTGGTCTCTGCTCCTCTCCTCACTACTCTCTACTCTCAGGGCCCCTTTTGCCCTGTCAAGGGTGACATGAGGATTTCACACTTCAGAGGGTGTCCTCTCCCCATGATGCTGACCCTTCTTCCTGGTGGAATCCCCCTCCTGCCCCTGACTCTGACCCTTGACCTCTGGCCTCCAACTGGATTCTGGGCGTTAAGAGAGGATAGGGCGCTCTGCTCCTGGACCCCCTGGCTCGGCAGGCGTCGTCAGGGGCAGGACTTCGGTGATGTGGGTGGAGAGGGCTCCTGCCTAGGGAGGGGTGGGTCTTGAGGTAAATTCAGATGTTTTTATTATGTAGTTATTTTATTAGAAGTGCTTCTAGGAAGGGGACATGGCTTACTGGGAAGTGATTTATCCAGTGCTGAACTGTCAGAGTCAATCCCACTGCCTGTCTGTGCTTCTGTACCATGTGGACTTGAGAACTTGAGTTGCTGGGCAGTTATTTGAGTGCTAATTAATGCAAGTCTCGCTCCTTTACAGCTGGGTAGATTGTCATAAATAGAAAGGTCTTGATTTAAAATGAATAACAAAATTTTTTTATCATTTTGTTTTGCTTAGGTCAAGGAGGAAGAATAATATGCTAGGCTAGATGGTTGATTGAGGTAGAGAGAAGACATTTTTTCTGTGACCTTTGTGAGTATGAGCTGTTCTCCCCCCCCCCTTTTTTTTTTTTTTGGTCTTTTGCTCTGTGGCCCAGGCTAGAGTGCAGTGGCACAGTCATAGGTCACTGTAGTCTCGAACTTGTGGGCTCCAGTGATCCTCCTGCCTCAGCCTCCCTAGTGGCTGGGACTACAGGCACCACCACCACTATCATCACCACGCTTGGCTAATTTTTCTTATTTTTTGTAGAGACGGGGTGTCGCTATGTCGCCCAGGCTGGTCTCAAACTCTTGGGCTCTAGCAATCCTCCTTCCTTGGCCTCCCAGAGTGCCAGGATTATAGTTGTGAGCTGCTGTGCCTGGCCTCACCAAGTAGTTTTAGGATCTGTTGATGAATCATACCCAAATCATTATTGTTACAGTGGGAAAATACTGACTTTTAACTCCCATTGTTCTTTTTGCCTTTACTAACTAGCATTCTATTATAAAGAAGAGCTTTTTCTTCTCCGTTTATTTATTATCTGTTCATTTAATATTCGTTTGGACTCACGCTATCATTATTTGGTCACTGGGTATGATCTTTTATTGTCATTATCCATTCTCATTCCCAGCGTGTCCCAGGTTTGGCCAATGGGAGCCCCTTTGGGCATTTCTGTGTCCCTGTCACACGTCAGTTATTCTTTGAGCACTTCCTCTCTCGATGTGGAGGCTGCTCTAGCTCCATGCGTGCTTTTCTCGCCCCAGCCTGGCATTGGTCATCTCTTTCAGGAGCCTCATTTCTCTCGGCAGGAAATGACAACGAGGACCTGGTGTTCCCATTGCTGCCGAGGTGTCATTGCTCCTAGGTCCTGTGAGGTGGAGCTTCACGTGCGTGTGTTGCTGCTGGCTGCAGTTTCCCTCCTCCGTCTCGTTTACCCATGTCCAAAGCCCAGATCGCTGTCCTTATTAGCTCTTCTTGCTAAGGACAGAGACTCAGGCCACCCAACATGAGAGGGTCCTTTTAGTGTCAAGATTGTCTTTTCTCCATCCTGAGCTGGAAAACTGTTAGGGCTGAAGTCCTGCCAGCAGATCTCTTTGGTTCTGCCATCGTGAGTCTGTGTAGCGTCCACATGGGCAGCCTTGAGACCGTGGGTGGAGGGTTTGACTGGTCTGGGCTGCAGATCCTGTCTTTAACCCTTTCCATCCACGCCGGGAGTTCCGACCATTTTGTTGGGCGTTGGCCCTTTGCAAAGGTGATGAGAACCAGGTTCCTGCTTGCTAGACAGAATGTAGGTTCAGCTCACACAAAACATTTGAATTTCAGTTTCAGGAGGTTTTTATTCTTCCTGCTCTGGTCCTGGGCTAAGCTGGGGCCTGAGGCCCTGCCCAGGCTCAAGTCCTTTGTCCTTCTAGAAGCGTCCTCTGGACTGCCCTGCTCTGCGCCCTCCAGTGGAGTCAGAGAGCAGCTGGAGCTCGGCCTTCACTTGGTTCACTCAGCAGACACTGATTGTGCATCCGGGGTCTGCCAGCATGGAGAGCAGTGTGGAAGTTGAGGCTGAGGCTCGAGGGCGCCCAGCAGGCCCCTCCCACTCAGTCCTCCCAGAAAGGCCACAGTTCTTCTTGTAGGCGCAGGCATTGGAGACGTTGCGGATGCCTCGGAGCAGGACCCGTCGTCCCCCGCCTCTGCGGGGCCCAGCCTGGGGACAGACGGGTGTGTGCGCAGGGGTGAGCCCGCTGATCGAGGAGCGCTGTCCCCGCCGAGTTTCTTTTCAGGCACCGTGACCTGGCTCTCTCTGACGTGAACCTGTTGGTTTCTGTGTCTTCTACCCCAGTGAGAAAGAGAGTTGACGAAAGGACCACAAGTGGTTTAGGCCTCTGTCACATGTGTCTTCTGTTGTTGTTCACAAGCCTTTCACTCGCAGCTGGCCCGGCTCTGCCCTTGGGTTCCAGCTTGGCAGTCATGAGGACGTGGGTTGTGTGTCCACTGAGGCTTCCTGCATGCCTGGGGCAGGACAGGTGCTCCATAGTAGTGATTGACCCTCTGTGTGACCAGGGAGCTGGCCTCCTCAAGTCCTAGGAGAAGGTCTTTGTGTGGTCCCACCAGGGGCACGTATCCGTCCGGGTCCCATCACCTGCAGGCTGGGGGCAGGATCAGGCAGTGCCTGTAGGGCCTCGCCCCCAAGAGTGTGTGTGTCTGTGCATGCCTCAAAAGACCACGTCCTTTCCCGTCCCCTGAGGGTCGCAGGGACCCCTGGGGTCCTCACCTTACACTTTGAAAACCACCAGTGGCCACATGTGAAGCTCTGGGAAGGTGGGACGGTGCTGGCCTAGAACTGGCTGGAGAGAGCTGGCCCATGCTCGTGTCCTGTCTCGGCCTGCACACCTGGCCTGCAGCGAAGTCACCCTCGCTGTCCCAGGGCTGCTGTGGGCGTGCTCTGGGAGGCACTGAGGATGCCAGACATTGGTTTCCCTTGGGGTCAAGGAGGGAGGGACACACTGGGCATGGGAGGCTTTATAGGCTGGTGGCCCAGGGTCACAGGGTGGGCATGGCCCTGCTCCTGGGAGCCAGGCTTGCCATGAAGTGAAATTAGCAGTGAGCTCAAGGTTCAGTGGGAGTGTGCTGAGAAAATTATCTGCTATCTTTTAGAGAAAACATTCTAGACGTTATCAGAAGTGTTACGGAGTTGTGCTGTTAGATTCTGGGAGCCTGAAGTTTCTGGAGCTTGAAGTGGGAAGATGGAGTGTTCAGCGTCCGCCTCCCCTGCCCCCAGACGTGGGTGAGGCATTCACCAGCTCCCTGCCACCTCTCCTCCTTGGACTTGTGTGGCCGCTGCTGCATCTGGAGAGACCTGGTTACGAGCGTTTGTGTGTCAGACTCTAGGCTGCTTGAAGGCAGAGATTTTTGTCTTTAAAAAAAAATTCCAAGAGGCCTTGTGTGATACATGCCTCTGTGTGGTAGACACTTACTGAATTCCTATTGAATTTTCTTGATTTATCCGTTTCTGTAACTTCTTGGTAGGTTGGACATTTGAAATACATGAATTATTGTCAGCAGCAGAATGCATTTTGAAGTAAATTATAACATTTGTATAACAGAGCCAAAGCATTTTAGATATCTAATTATATAAGTAATACATGAATGCATTCTTATTGTTAAAAAAAAAGTCTCTAAAAATACAGATAAGGTCTGGTGCAGTGGCTCATGCCTATAGTCCTAGCACTTTGCGAGGCCAAGGAAGGAGGATCACTTACGGTTGGGAGTTCGAGACCAGCCTGAGCAAAAGGGAGACCCTGTCTCTACAAAAAAACAGAAAAATCAGCCAAGTGTGGTGATACATGCCTATAGTCCCAGCTACTCGGGAGGCTGAGGAGGGAGGATCACTCGAACCCAGGAGTTGGAGGTTGCAGTGAGCTGTGATGACATTGGTGCACTCTATCTGGGGCAACAGAGCAAGTCTCTGTCTCAAAAAAACAAAAAAATACAGATAGAGCAGAAGTTTCCTTGGACTATCTTCTGAATGGCGATTCTCCTGGAGTGACTATTGTCTGCTGGCAGGAACGAGCCCTGACTGTCCTGCTGTTGACAGTGACTCCTGGAACTGGTTTGTCTTTGGCGTCCTCCAGATGGGGGTGCACTTGGAGAAGCCGTGCTCGCATGTTGTACAGTCTGTCTGCTGGTCAACCCGTGTTGACGGCTGCTGTTTCTTTCTAGCAGGCAGTTCCGGCCAAGGGGGAGCCGAAGCAGGATTGCTGCGTGAAGACGGAGCTGCTGCGAGAAGGTAAGGGCGGCGTCCGCTCGTGACGTGAGCAGCGTCTCCTCTCCAGGCTGGAAGGCCTGCTGCCCTGCATGTCTGTTCACTGGTCCCAGGCTTCAGACTTTCTTACACAGGCGTCCCGTGTTGTTTCTGATCTGTCCCATCCCTGACTGCACGTCATGCAGACACATAGACAGACCTACTGGAGAAGGAGAACACATCCCAAAGTATGAAAAGCGAAACCCCACACATCCTTGTGTTAGAACACACCCAGGAAATTAACAGTGAGTGGTAGCACTAGTGTTTATGGCAGCTTTTTATTGATACCACTGAGACCTGGAAACACTCAGGTGTCCTCCCCTGGTGACAAGCTGGACAGACACTCCAGACAAGCTGGAGTGACAACGCCGTGGCACTCCCCGCAGTGGGGCATGGTCGGCAACACCGAGGGGCAGACTGCGTAGTTTGTGCAGTGGCAATGGGTGACGCTCAGTACGTTTTGAGAGGTGAAGGCAGCTGGACCCGAAAGGCCACGTACTGCTGAGTCTGTTTGTGTGACGGAAGCTGGGAGAATACAGCAGCGGCTGCCAGGAGGTGGCGGGAGCAGTGTTTTGGGGTCTGCTGAGGGGTATCCGGGGACACTGGGGCTCAGAGCCGGCGTGTGAGGGGTGGTCGTGGCCGTGCAGCTCTGCGTCTGCTGGGGGTGCCCGTGGAGCTGTGCACCCCAGAGGGTGTGGCAGCCAAGTGCACAGTGTCACGCACGTCCACTTGGCCACTCTGAGGTGGAGCGGACCAGGTGACTTTGGAGGGAAGTGTCCTGACTGGACCTATAATGCTGGCTGCTACAGGAGAGGCTCAGATACTGGCCCTGAGGAGGCCCCTGCTGTGTCCTGCCTCACTCCAGACGGCCTCTGCGTGCCTCGTCCAGCCACCGGTCGCCTGCCTGCTCACCCTCTCGCGCCGTGGCCACCCCTGTTCCCTTCTGCCGCCACCCGGGCCGCTCTGCAGAGCCGAGCCATGCACAGTGCTAGCACCGCCTGCTGCATGCCACACGGGCCTGTGGAGGCCTGACTGGGGGTTTTCTTCCTGTTATTTTGCCCTTCTTTTTGCCACCCCCTCTCTGCCCTTGAAATGGTCTCTTCTGCTGGCTCTGGCACTCTCCAGCTTTCCCCTGCCAGTCCCCCTCCTGAGTCCCCCTCCCAGTCCCCCTCCTGAGGCCTTTGCTAGCAGAACTTCTGTGCACACAGTTTTGTTTGGATGTAGGTTTTCATTTCTTTGTGATAAATGCCTGGGAGTGCAGTTGCTATTGCATGGTAAGTATATGTTTAGTTGTATAAGAAACTGCTGTGTTGTTTCCCAAAACAACTGTGTCTGACATCCCATTCCCCAGCAACTGCCAGCTAGTCCATGTGGGTTCCAGTTTCTCCACATTCCATTACTGTCCATTTTTAAAATTACAGCCATCATAATGGGTGTGAAGTAGTATTTCATCGTGGGTTAGATTTACTACTGTTTAGTTTTGAGAATTCTTTATATATTCTAGATACTAGTCCTTTGTCAGATGTGTAATGAGCAAATATCTTTCTTCCAGTCTGTAGCTATCTTTTCATCCTCTTCACATGGGCTTTTCCAGAGCAGAAGTTTTTAATTTTGATAAGATCCAATTAATCAGTTTTTCTTTTTATGGATTATCATTGTGGTATCCAGGTTAAGATTCTTTGACTAATCCTTGATCCCAAAGATGATTTTTTTTTTTTGAGACAGAGTCTCATTCTGTCACCTAGGCTAGAGTGCAGTGGTGTCATTGTAGCTCACTGTAGTCTCAAACTCCTGGGCTAAAGCGATCCTCCTGCCTCAGCCTCCTGAGTAGCTGGGTATACAGTTGTGCACCACCACACCCAGGTAATTTTTCTATTTTTAGTAGAGACGGGGTCTTGCTCTTGTTTTTGCTCAGGCTGGTCTTGAACTCCTGACCTCAAGCAATGTTCCTGCCTTGGCCTCCCAGCCAAAGTTTTCAAAAAATTTTTCTTAAAGTTCTATAGTTTTATGATATGCCTTTATATTTCTTTTCCATTTTGAGTTAATTTTTATATAAGGTGTGGGGTTGAGGTGAAGGTTCATTTTTATAATATATCTTGTGTTCTGTAACCTTCCCAAACTCAGTCCCCAATTCTAGTACCTTTCATACAAGTTCCTTTGGATTTTCCGTATATGGGATCATGTCAACTATGAGTCAGTCAGTTTTGCTGATTCTTTGCAGCCTGAATGCTCTGCGCTTGGTTGATTGCTCTGGCGGGAACCTTCAGAGTTCTTCTAGTGAGAGTGTACATCCGTATGTTGTTCTTGACGTTCGGGAGGGAAGGAGACTTCAGTAAGTCTGGTGTTAGCTGCTGGTTTTACGTGGGTGCCCTGCGTCAGCTCGGGGGAGTTTCCCTCTTTCACTATGATAGTTTGCTTAGAGTTTTTATCTGAAATGGGCGTTGTCAAATGGTATTTTCTGAATCTCTTGAGATGATAGTTTATTTTTCTCTTACTTTGTCACAATGGTGAATTAGAGCACTTGGTTTATGTGTTTGTGTGTGTGTTTGTTTTAAGAGATAAGATCTTGCTCTGCCGCCCAGGCTAGAGTGCCTTGGCATCGTCATAGCTCCCAGAAGCTTCCAGCTGCTAGGCTTAAGCGATCCTCCTGCCTTAGCCTCCCGAGTATCTGGGACTACAGGCACATGCCACCACACCTGGCTGATTTTTCTATTTTTTGTAGAGACAGGATCTTGCTATGTTGCCCAAGCTTATCTCAAAACTTGTGGGCTCAAGCAGTCCTCCTGCCTCAGCCTCACAGAGTGCTCGGAGTATAGGTGTGAACCACCACATCCGGCCCAATTGGTTTATTTTAATATTAAACCAACTCTGCCTTTCTGGGATAAACCCCACTTATACTGTTTATATTATCTTGTTTTTTTTTTTTTTTTTTACCTCCAAGGTTCTGCTTGAACGTTTATATTATCTTTTAAAGTATACTTTGGATTTGATTTATTATAATTTTGTTTAGAATGTAATGAACACTTATGTTCATTAGGGATATCAGTCTGTAATTTTTTTTTTCTTGCAGTGTCTTTCTTTGCCTTGTTTTGGTATCAGGGTGTGACCTCAAAGATAGGTTTATCAGTTTTGTTCACTTTGTTGTAAAAACAACTTTTCATTGATTTCCTTTACTTTTCTATTTTCTGTTTCACCAGTTCTCACTCTGATTTATGTTATTTTCTTTCTTTCGCTTGTTTGGAGTTTAATTTCCTTTTTTTTTTTTCATAAAGATTGTAGGGTGCTGAAGACTTCTTCCCTGACACGGGTGCTTAGGGCTATACATTTCCTTTTTTTTTTTTTCCCTTTTTTATTTCAACAGATTTAGGAGTACAAGTGGTTTTTGGTTACATGACTGAATTGTATAGTGGTAATGTCTGGGCTTTAGGTACCTCTCACCTGAGTGGCATGTGTGTACCCAGTAGGTAACGCTTCCCTTCAGGTGTTGCCTCAGTGACCTCCCACTCATTCTGGTCTATTGTATTTTCATTTTCTTTCAGTTCAGAACGCTTTCTAATTTCTCTTGATTTCTTATTTGTCACATGGTTTATTTAGAAGTGTATTGTTTAGTTTTCGAATAGTTGGGGATTTTACTAGATCTCTTTTTGTTATTGATTTTAAATTTCATCCCATTGAGCTCAGAAGACATACTTTATTCTGACTTCAGTCATTTTAAAATTAATTGAGACTTGTTTCACATCTTCACGTGTGGTCTCCCTTGGTAAGGATTCTGTGTTCCTGAGTGGGAGGTGTCTGCAGTTGTGGGGAGTGGTCTGTAGCATCTGGTTGGGTCAGGTTTCTTGGCTGTGTAGTTCAGCCTCACTGATTTTCTCCTTGTTCTATCAGTCATGTGGGAGGGATATTGAAATCTATGACTGTAACTTTGGTGGAACTTTTTATTTCCCCTAGCAATTCCATTGGTGTTTGACTCCAGTATTTTGAGGCCCTTTTATTGTATATTCTTTTTTCTATCTACTTTGCTATTAAAGTAGCCACTCCAACTTTCTAAAAAATTCATTTTTGCTTGTGTTCGTGAATGGGCTCTATGTGCAGAGCGGCCCCCAAATGCTGAAGGAACCAAGAAAGCAAAGAACAAGGAAGACAAATCCAGTTTGCCACTGAAGGGTGGTTTATTGGGGAACTTACGGACAGAAGCTTGGGTCTAGGGTAACATCCGGACAGGTGCGTGTCTGCACCATCACTCCTGAGACCCAGGGCTTGCGTGCCATGGGGCTGGGGCTGGAGCTGCGAGCTCCTTGGAGAGTCACAGGCAAGAGAGCCGTGGGAGCCAGAGCCTATGATCAGTGCAGTAACATCAAAGTCGCTTTGCTCTAAAGGCAGGATTTATAATAGTGCGTGTTCTTACACTCAGGACAGTAAATAAGGTAGGAGTCACAGGCTTTCACAGGACTGGGGCTCACCAGACGTCACCATTGCACATCAGTGTCCAAGATGGATCAGTCCTGACCACACAGCACATGGTGCACCTTTGCCGTCTCTGTAGTCTGTGTCTCTCATTTTACTAATACGTGTTTGTTGTAGCTGTGTTGTTTATTGTATTGCTTCTTTATCACTTTGATCATCTCTGCCTTTCATTTAGGGTTTTAGGCCAATTACATACATAGTAGCATTTTTTTATTCCCTTTTTAGTAAATTTCCTTTTCAGAAAATGTTTGTGTCATTTTCCCTTTCTTCAAGTATGGTTTCTGCCTTTTCATGCTGATTAAAGCCTTTACTTATATCTGGATATCAATCCTTTGTCAGTTTTAGAAATTATAGTTGTATCATTCTTCATTGTTTAACCTGCCTATTAAAATTCCTTATAGGACAAAAATCTATAATTTTGATATAATCAGATTTTTCTTTTTCTTTTTATGATTTATGCTTTTGATGTTTTATGAATTTTCCCTGTTTCTAGGTCGTAGATCTATTCTTCTGCATTTTCCTTTATTAACTTGAGGTTTTCAGACCTTCTGGGACATTATTTCACAAACCTGAGTGTGTGGGAGCTCACCATGGGCCTGGTTGAGACCACAGGTGTGGGCTACGGCCTCTGGTTCAGACTCAGCAGGGTGGGCGTGTTCTTCCCCATCCTGCTGCTGGTCCTGAACCACACCCTGCTGAGCAGCACCTAGAGTCCAACTGTGCCATTGGTGTTTGGTCAGGGCCCAGGCACATTTTCTCTGTTATGGAGAGTCTGTTTTCCCTTTTCTATGATTTGTTATTCTTTTCATGATTTACTTTGTTATTTGTGAAAATCTATTCTTCTTGTATATATTTTAGATTAAGGTCATGGAGTTCTTCAGTACACTAATGGGAATTTTGGTTAGACTATCATTGAATTTATAGATTTAATTTGAGAAGACCTGACAGCTTTGTAATGTCATCCCATTTAACAGCATGAAATGCCCTCTGTTTAAAATCTTTTTTCTCTACACAGGCTTTGAGTAATCTTGGCTAATTTTTTATATCCTTTGTAGTTTTTCCTGCTTTTGTGAATAATAGATTTTGTTTTCTCTTACATTTTCTAGTTAATGTTTGGGTAGAGAAATGCCCCTGATTTTGTAACTTGAGTTCAAATTCAGCAGTCCTACTGCACTTGTGTGGTTTAGTCAAGGATTTTGATTCTGCCTTAAGGGGATGATAACATCAGGTGTGAAGAGGTGGTCCGTCCCTTCTTCTCCAGCCCCTGCACCTCTCGTTTCTCTCTTTCCACTTAGGTTCATCCAGCGCTGCCTCCTTTGTGTTACCACGAGTGCTATTAATGTGTTCTCGCATTCTTGTCTTACATGTAGTTAATTTCATATGTGTGAATAAATTTACATTTGCTGCAGAATTTGGTCTATAGCCTTCTCCAAGTTAAGAAGGCGTCTACCTGTTCTGTTTTGCTAAGGGTCTTACAAAATTACTAATGCCTTTTTATTTATTCAGAAAGTATTACACACATATTATGTGCCAGGCCCTGCTTGCTGGGTCAAGGCACAGTTGTGAACAAACAGAAAGAATGTCATCCTGGTAGAACTCACATCCTGGGGGGAGGGACGATCAGTGTGGTGAATGGTAAAGGCAGCAGAGCTAGCTGCTGTGCACATGACAGGTAGGGCTGCAAGGGGCACGCCGAGCGGTGGAGCCTCAGGCCTGATCGAAGCTCTCTCTGCATCCAGGGATGTAATGGTGAGTTCTTTGCTTAGCTGTCAGTGAAGCTAAATATTTTTGTCTGTCTTCTGTGTAAAATGTGTTTCTTGTTTATGACCGTCCTGGGTAAGACCTGCCAGTGTCTGTAGAGAAAGGCTAACAGACCAAGGACAGCTGGAAGTCCGGCCCCTTTCCTGACTGCCTGTTTAGGTTTGTTCTTGGGAAGAAGCTACTTCTGAAGCCTTGTTTCCTATTAAGTCTCCAAACATGCCTGGTTTCTCCATATACTGGTGACTGCCTAACTTAACCAATTAACTTTCAAACTTAACATTTAAGAAATAACTTTATCTTTAATGTTTGAACATAAATGTTAGTTTGCATATGAAATAAAAGGACTGTCCGTAGGAGTTTCCATATGCCAGTCAAAGAAGCTGTGTTGTTGGTGGTGGTGTCACAGGAGGGCGGGTGTGCACGGCCGGTGACGGTTCTCTGTCCTCTGTCCGCAGAGATATCTATGGCTGCCGATGAAGGCTCCGCAGAGAAGCAGGCAGGAGAGGCCCACATGGCGGCAGATGGCGAAACCAATGGATCATGTGAGAAAAGCGATGCCAGCAGTCACCTGAATGCAGCGAAACACACTCAGGAGAGCATGAAAGTCAGCCCGCAGGAAGGTACCAACAAACTCACACGAATAGCAGAAAATGGGATTTCGGAAAGAGACACAGAAGTGGGGAAGCAAAACCACGTCACGACTGACGACTTCGTGCAGGCCTCTGTCGTGGGCAGCAACGGATACTTCCTCGGTAAACCGGGCCTGCAGGCGCAGCCCGTGAGGACTACCAGCGCGCTGGCCTCCTCGCTTCCTGGCCACGCCGCAAAAACTCTTCCTGGAGGGGCTGGTAAAGGCAGGACTCCAAGCGCTTTTCCCCAGACGCCCGCCGCAGCATCGCCTGTGCTCGGGGAAGGGAGTGTGGACGCAGAGGACAGGAAGCCTCCCGCCCCTGGCGCCGATGTCAAAGTTCACAGGGCACGCAAGACCATGCCGAAATCCATCATGGGCCTGGTAATTTTGTGTCTTCTCTTGCTGTTTCCTTCTGTTCTTCTCGTCTGTTTTAATGACGGCGAGTGGACTTCCATGCATTAAAGGGAAAGGCCAGTAAGTGGCAGTGGCCATCCAGCAGGTGGTCACCTCTAGCCTGTGAAGAATTAGGAGGTGCTCTCGTGCCTCGTGGATGTGTGGCAGCCACGTGACTCTCTCTCCTTTTTGTGTTCACTCTTCTAATAGGATCCTTTTGCTCCTGGTGCAGAGATGTGTCAGATGCTTCCGAGGAGGCCGCTTGCTCCTCTGCTCTGGGCTCAGGCTTTCCTCCTCTCTCTAGTGCTGCTAGAGAACCGCAGCACTCACCCCTGTGTCACTGGGAAGTGAGGGGCAGTGAGGTTGGGTCGGGCCTCAGTGTGAGCGTGAGGGGACAGGCCCAGGGATCCCTCCTAACCCCGCGATGCCGGACTCAGTCTTGCTTGAGAGCAGAGTGAGCCTTGTGTCCTGGACATTCTCACCGCAGGACCTGCGGTTGGCTCGCAGCTCACCCCCTTGCCTTCCGTGGCGTGGCCTGATGAATTTTCAGACTGTGCAGTGCTGTTACTTTGCTCTCCCACTGTGATGTGAATTTGGGGATGAGTTCTAGCTGTGTGACCACGTTCCCCTGGAGTTTCTTGTTTCTGACATCTCTGGTCAGCATTCTGAATTGTATTCTTGTCCTTTGTTTGTTGATCATCTGCAGTTTGCAGCCTTTTAGGGCTTTACACACAGAGCTTTTCCCACAGGCCTGTCTATTTGAGGATTTGTGTCTTTAATTCCAGAAAAGTGCTGTGTGTAATTTTTCCATTTTCTTCCCATAGACTTCCTTTTAGGTGGTTGGTTCTTCTGTCTCCTTAGATCCCTACCTGTTTTCCAGCTTTCCTGATTTGTTCTTTAGCCCTTCACATCCTTGCCATTCATTCCATATGTCGATATGTTTTATTCTGACATTTGTGTTTTTCATATTCAGTATCTGATTTTAATCTTTGTTTCTGTTTTTCTTAGAAAAATTATTTTGAATTATATTTTGTCTTATCCTTCAAAAGATAGTGATTATAATTCTTTTATAGTCTCTTATAAATTCTGATTCCTCAAGTGAGAGTTTTGCTTGGACGTGCCAGTTCGTATTCGTGATCTTTCCACACAAATGCTGACTCCCTCCCCTAGCTGTGCTCGCCTTTACCCCATGCAGCCGCTGTCTGCTCTCTGTGCCCGCAGGGCTTGGCTGGAGCAGACTGCTGGGCGCAAGGCCTGGGCTGTCCTCTCCCCAGGGGTCCCCATGGCTGCCGGGGTTCCATTCTCCTCTGGGACAGCCAGGGTGGGCGCCTCCTAACGCCAGCACCTGACACTGGCCCTCGGCTTCCTCCAGCATGGCCAACCTGACTCAGCCTCAGCTTTTGTGATATTTTTCAGTACGTGTCAAAACTTTTAAAAAAAATCCTTAAAATGATTGCAGATTCACAGGAAGCTGCAAAAATAGTAGAGATGTCCCATGTACACTGCACCCAGCCTCCCCCGGCGCTAACACTTTCATAACCAGAGCACAGTATCAAAATCCTGACTATGAGCCACCACACTTGCCTGTTTCAAATGTTATACAAATGGGGTTGTAGAGCATGTGACCTTTTGAGAGTGGCTTTTTTGCTTTGCATAGTTCTCCTAAGATCCATCTGAGCTGCATCACTGGTCTTTTCCAATGCGTGCAGTCCTGGTATCCGCGGTGTGGTGGGCTCCATGCCAGCCGCTCACCCGTGGAAGGACGTTGCGTTTCCAGTTTTTGGCTGTTACGTTAAAGCTGCCCTGAACATTTATGTACACGTTTTTGTTTGGACATAAGGTTTTTTCTCCGTGGGTTAAATATACAGGTGTGTAATTGCTGGCTTGTGTGGTACTAGATGTTTAGTTTTATAAGAAACTGCCAAGCCATATTGCAGAACGGCTGCAGCATTCTACAGTCCCAGCGTGTGAGTGATCCGGTCTCCTGGACCCTCACCAGCCTGTGGTGTCGCTGCTGCTGTCATTCCAGCCGTTCTCACAGGCTGTGACTTCCCATCACATGAACTTATTTCTCAACTGCTGACCTGTCTTGCGTCTCCAGGGGCCTGCGTGCCACCTGTGGCATCGTCGGCGAAGCCCCTTCGCACCTTCTGCCATTTTATAGCTGGATTGTTCTGTTAGCTTTGCGAGCTCTGGTGAGAGTCCATCCCCAGCTGCAGGGTTTGCCAGTGTTTTTCCTGGTGTGAAGCTTATCTCCTGCCTCTCAAAGGGCCTTTCACAGAGCAGATGTTTTCCTTGTTGATGAAGTCCAGTTTGTCAGTTTTCTTTCATGGATTATGCTCTTGGTGTCCTGTCTGAGAATTCTTCCCCTAGCCCTAGATCTTGATTTCTCTAATTGTTTTTTCTAAAAAAATTTTTAAATTTTATGTTAACTTTAAGTCTGTGATCCATTTTAAGTTTGATGTTTGTATTAGGTCGGTGGCTTGGGTTGAGGTTCATTTTTTGTCTGTGAATGACACACCATTATCCATTTTAGGATGCATGTCAGAAATTTTGCATTGTTCATTTATCTCCTTGAAGTTACACTTTTATTGCATTCCCACCTTCAGGATTTTATTTTAATATATTTTTATTTGTGAGCATCTTTTATTGTACCTTCTTATATTCCTTTAGGGGAAAAAAAGCACTTTGAAATTTAATCTCAAAAAATTTCTTTGACCATAAGCCTTTGTTCTTGATGGAGTTACTATTATGATAATTAATAGTATACATTGATTTCAAGTTGTGTCATTTGGTTAAAAATTACTAAACATTTGTAGACTGGTCAGTAGTAGGAAAAGAGAACTTGAGTGTTTTGAGGCTTTGGAACCTGATTTCTGGAAGACTGACCATGCCTTCTCCACACCCTAGAACACCTTCCTCTGCTCCTGGGGAGCCTTTTGGAGGAAGGAGTAGACCTACCTGGGTGGCTCTCCTGGGGGCCACGGATGTGGTGCTGGCAGAGACTGGGTGCCATGCGCCCCCACTCTGCTCCAGGAGCTGTTGGGGGCCCGTGGCTTGGGCCTGGCCTCTGCGCCCCACCCCTTGGAATTTTCTGCCATCCCAAAGCCAATCCCGTCTTGTTTGGTATTTTTAGGACACCACATTTTATTGAAAATCGTGTTTTAAGGACAGTCATTCCAACGATAAAATGAGTGTTTCAGGCTTATGATAATAAATTTAATTTTCTTATAAAAGTTTACAAAAGCATCAGCACGGCTTCAGATGTTCTTACAGCTGCTTCCCGAGTAGACAGCAAGGAGGCTGCTGCTGTGGGGAGGGACCCTGTTTTCTGGGTTGCAGTGCTTGTTGCTGCGCTTGCTGCTATGGCCGGTGTAGCCGGGCTATTTCCCTAACCGAGCCGTGCACTCCGGAGGTGTCAGGGGAGCCCGTCTGCTTGCTCCTCTGGCTGTTTCCATACCTGCCTCCTTGCCCAGCTGCCCACGCTGGGCTCCGGGTGTGGGTGGATGCGTGGCTCTTGGTAACTGTGAGTGAGTGTCTGGCTGTGGCCACACCACCCGGCCTCCAGCTGAAGGTCTTCTCTTCCCTCCTCGTGTCTTTGTGCCCTTAGATAACAGGGTCCCAATGAAATCCAGAGTCCTCACCCAGGTCCAGTAGTTCTTAATCTTACCGTTTAGATGTTTGAAGATAACCTTTTAGATTAAAGAATAGGTTTTTGTACCTTAGAAAGAACTAGCCTTAGGTGGTGATTTACTCTTCGGGTTTTACTTCTGCTCCTCATTTACATGTACTTTAAAATCACATTTTGCATCTGTACAAGCGCCAGTTGAGGTGGGCTGCCTGGTTGTCTGTAGATGACATGAAAAGGCACTGTCTGGACCCTGTGTTCGGACAGTGATTGCTTTAGAGTCACACCTGGTGCATCTAAGAAAGACTTTTAAAATATCTCACAAACCAGATGTGCTACGTTCCAACAGCATTCTGCATGCAGAGGATGGACTGAGGCCTGAGCAGGAGAAAGCACATCTGGATATGGCAAGCAGGGTGGGCGAGCTGGGTGGGTCTCCACTGGGCAGAGTGTCAGCAGGGAGGCAGACAGCGTGTGTAAGACAGAGGGAGAGAAGGCAAGACAGACGGGGACAGAGAGCGCAGCTCGTGAAAGCACCTGCTCCATGGGCCTCCCAGCCACCCTGGCACCTGCCTCCTCTCCCCTGTGCGTGCCCACTCCTCTCTCACCCAGCACTCTTCTCTCACCTGGTACTCCCCTCTTTGCTTACCTGCCTCCCTTGTGCCATCTCTGCCTGGAGCCCCGTGGTCACCTATTCATGACCTTTTGGTTGCTTCTCCCTGGTCTTGACTCCAGGAGAAGGGGATGCCTTGTCGTGTGTGTGCGTGCGCTCACGTGTGTGCATGTGTGTTAAAAGGTATATAACATAAAAGTGACTATTTTAACCATTTTAAAGTATGTAGTTCATTAGCCTTAAGCACATTCATATTTTTGTGCAATCGTCAGCACCATCCTCTCCAGATCTTTTACATCTTTACAGACTGAAACTCAGTCCCCATCAAACCACAGCTCCCTCTGCATTCCTCCAGCCCGCGCACCCCCTGTTTTACTCCCTGTCCTGATGAGCTTGGTTACTCCAGGGACCTCCTGTAAGTAGCGTCCTACAGCATTTGTCCTTTTGTGACTGACATATTTCACTCCACATAAGGCCCTCCAGGTTCATCCCTGCTGCAGCACATGTCAGAATCTCCTTTCTTGTCAAGGCTGAGGGACACTCGCTCTGTGTACACACAACACTGTTCCCACTCATTCATCCCTCAGGGGACACTTCGGTTGCTTCCGAGTTTTAGCTACTGTGAATGGCACTGCCATGGACACGAATGTACAGACACATCTTCAAGACCCTGCTTTCAGTTCTTCTGAGTAAATACCCAGAAGTGGGATTGCTGGATCACGGGGTAATTCCATGTTTGGTTTTCTGCGGAACCGCCATGCTGTTTTGCGCAGTGGCTGCACCATTTTACGTTCATGCCGAGGGCACACAGGTTTTTACGTTCATGCCGAGGGCACACAGGGTTCCAGTTTCTCCACATCCTTGCCAACACTGATTGTTCGCTGATTCTCTGACAGCAGCCACGCTAATGGGTGTGAGCTGGCATCTGATTGTGGTTTACACTTGCATTCCCCAACGATGAGTGATGTTGAGCATCTTTGCATGTGCTTTTTGACCATCTGTATGTCTTCTTTGAAGAAATGTCTGTTCATGTCCTTGAGCCGTTTTAAAATCAGGTTGTTGTTGTGGAGTTGTAGGGCTTCTTCACATATTCTGGATATTAACCCTGTATCAGATACAGGATTTACAGATATTTTCTCTCATCCCATAGGATGCTTTTTCACTCTGCTGATAGTATCTTTTGATGCATAAAACTTTTAAATTCTCATGAAGACACTGTCTACTTTTTCTTACGTTGCCTGTACTTTGGGTGTCATATCCAAGAAATCGTTGCCAAATCCAGTGTTGTGGAGCTTTCTTCATATGTCTTCTAGGAGTTTTGTAGTCTTAGGTCTCACATTTGTCCTGAGTTAATTTGTGTACGTGGTGTTAGACAAGGGTCCAACTTCCCTCTTCTGCATGTGGACATTTAGTTTCCCAGCATATTTGTTGGAGAGTGCCTTATCTTTTCACGCTTTTCACCACTTATCATACATACCGTGTGCACGATCACGTTTGGTGAAATGGAACTGGATTTGGGATGGAACGATTGCGAGGCTGTAGGCGATTTCTGGGAAGCAGACAGTGACTGGAGGCTTGGTTGCGTCTGGTGGGCGAGGGAAGGCGGGGCCCGGCACACCACACACTGGGGCTGCTGTCGGTCTCCCAGAGCCTGGGACTCAGGACAGGTTTAGAAGATCAGTAAGACTGTGGGTAAAAGACCATTTGGAAAATACAACGCAATTATCAGTTGTGGAATATATACATTGGGCGATGTTGCAGCTTGTAGCCGTGATACTATGAAAGCACTTCGTGAAAGGTTTTGATGCTGCCCATTGGGTATTTTTTAGCTTAATGATACTTAATACATAAATCAGCAGTTGGCAAACTTTTTCTGCAAAGAAGCAGGTAGAAAAGAAATATTTTAGGTTTTGCTACACACAATTCCTCTCTTCTCATCCCCTTCCCCCTTCTTGCCACACACCTGTGAGCACTGTGAACTTGGGCCACGGTTTGCCGACACTGACCAGAATCACGGGGGTGACTGACACACAGACCGTGGGTCCAGATGCTTCTGTGCTGTCTCAGTTTGCAGACTTTTCTGTTCTCTCCCATAGTATGACCTCTGTCAGTTGCGGGGAATTAGCGGGGACAGAGCGATGTTTGGGTGTGTGTCGCCTCAGGGGACGTCTACTGTGCACAGGTGCAGTCACTGACTGTCTTTGTTTTGAAGCACGCAGCCAGTAAGGACCCGAGAGAAACTCGAGACCACAAGGAACCAAGGGAGGAGATCAACAAAAGCGTTTCTGACTTCGGACGACAGCCGCTCTTATCGCCTTTCCCGTCCCTTCATCAGTCGCTACCTCAGAACCAATGCTACGTGGCCACCACGAAGTCACAGACAGGTAAAGGGAGGCTCGGTGCAGCCGCGCTGTGTGCATGTGTGTCCTGCCCCTCCCCTTGCCAGCCAGGAGTTGTGCTGGGCTGTAAGTGCCGTGCTGCTCCAGTGACAGACTGTTGGCGGCAGCACGCTCTTCTGTGCTCACCTGTGCACCTGAGGAGGCACCGCTGACCTCTGCCCTAAACCCGGTCTGACACCTACTGGCATTCATTCTTAGCTTGCTTTCGTCTCGAGATGAAGATGGTTTCCTTTACTAAAATCTTAAACTTGATCTATTTGGGTAGAAGACTCTGGATCTGAAAACTCTCCTAGTTCATGAGTCAAAGCTATTAGAAGCACAGAGGTGTGCTGGGGGGACCCCTGGCCCTGGGTGAGGAGCACCATCGCCGTTGCTCTGGCTTTGTGTCCAGCCGCTGCTCCCAGCTCACCCGAGCTGGCCTCTCCTGCGGTCAGTGGCGGGGATGGATGCACATGGGAAATCTACTGGGGCGCAGGTTGGTGGGCTCGTGCGCCTCACAGCGAGGGCTGCCTCAGGTTCCCTCTGGAGCCCCAGAACGGCTGCACTTGGCATCGTCCCAGAGGTGGGCAGCTCCCGTCATGGAGGAGTCGAGTTTGAATTTGGGAAGGTCTTTCTGGGAGGCCTCTGTGAGTGTGGCAGGAGGAGCCACAGACACGGGTGAGGTCAGCCAGGGGGTTGTGGCCATCAACCAGAAAGGCTTCACTTGGGGGACTGTCACCTGGCCACAGGTGCATGTCTTTTTCTGGACTTCTAGAATATTTTATTTTTTAGAGATGGGATCTCACTCTGCATAGGCTGGAGTGCAGTGGCGCCATCACGGCTCACTGCAGCCTGGAACTCCTGGGCTCAGGCGATCCTCCCCCCTTGGCCTCCTGAGTAGCTGGGACAACAGACATGCAACATCATGCCTAGCTAATTTTTTTTTAAAATTTCATAAAGAGACAGGGTCTTACTGTGTTGTTCAGGCTGGTCTCAAACTCTTAGCCTCAAGTTATCCTCCCACCTCAGCCTACCAAAGTGCTGGGATTACAAGTGTGAGCCACTGCACCCAGCCTTAAAATACTTTTTATTTTAAAGTAATTTCAGACTTCTAAAAATGTTGCCAAAATTCTACAAAGAAGTCCTGTGTACCCTTCACTCATTTTACCACTTGGCACAATTTTCCACCCCTCCCCCATGTATGACTCTTTTTTACTAAGATGTGAATGTAAGTTGTAAACTGTAGACATTGTGTTCTTCTATTTCTCAATGTTTTAGTGTTGTTTCCTAAACATAACTATAATGTCCTGAAAAATAAAGACATTCTCTTAGGTAACTACAGTATAGTTATCAAAGTCACAGCTTTGCTGTGAAACTGTTATCTAAACCTCATACCTTGTTCTGTTTTTACCAATTGCCCTATTAATGTCCATTACAGCAAAAAAACCCAAATTCTTGTCCTGGTTCCTGTAACCACCTAATAGTTGTATCTTGTGTGTCTCCTTCAATCTGAAACATTCTCAGCCTTCTTTGTCTTTCTGGACCTTGGCATTTTGGGGGGCATAGGCCAGGAGTTTTGTAGGATGTGCCAGATGAGGGTTAGCCCAGTGTTTCCCAGGATGGAAGTCAGGTCAGGGAACAGTGCAGGTGACTGTCATGTGCTCTTAAGAGAGGCATTTTGGTGGCCTTTTGTCCTGTTGTGGCCAGGTGGAGTCTGCCGGTCTCTTCGTCATGAAGTTTCTGTGTCCCAGGTGCTGGTCTGTGTGTGGCTTAGGGGGTGGAGCTTTGCAGGTTTTTTTGGTGACATCCTTATGGGACTTGGTTCCACTGATGACATGCATCCAGCGTGCATCATGGACTCTAGGTGGTGGTTTTCTGACTCCATCATTCCCTCTCTGTTGATTCTTCCAGGTTCTGCTGTAAGGAAGTGTTAACCCGTCATCCAGTCCGGACCCAGGACATGCGGTTGGTATGGTAATATTGACCTGGAGCTCTGTACTGAACTCGGCGGAGCATGACTGATCGTTGTAGGTGATTTGGTTTGCTGAAGAGGGCCTGCGGTTGGCCGTCGAGGGGCCCTTTGGGCGACAGAGACCTGACCTAACGGACCGCATCAGCCTCTGCCTCTCCGTGGGCGGCTCCTACTGCCTTGCCTCTCCTCTGCCTCTCCTCTCCTCTCCTCTCCTCTCCTCTCCTCTCCTTCTCCTCTCTCTCCTCTCCTCTCCTCTCTTCCTCTCCTCTCGCGTGCTGCGCGCCCCTGCCCTCGCGCGCCCGGCCGTCCGCGTTCCGCCCGTCCCCTCCCCTCCCCTCGCCCGCTGCCCTTCCGCCTCCCCTGGCCCCGTGCCCCTGCCGCCTCCCCCCTGCCGTGCCCGCCTCCCTCCGCCCTTCTCCTCCTTCTTTCTTTCCTCTGGCTTTGCTTTCTTTCGTCGCGTCTCCTCTCTCTCTCTCGCGCGACAGAGTCTCGACTCTGGTGCCAGGCGTAAGTGAGTGCCGTGGTGTCGACTAGCTCACAGCAGACCCTCAGAACTCCTAGCTCAGACGAGTCGCCGCCTCACGCCTCCGAGTAGCTGGACTACAGATGTGCACAGCCGCGTAAGTGTCTATATGGAGAGGTGGTCAGGCGACATTGTTTCGTATTGTATGTAGAGACGGGGTCTCAGCTCTGTCAGGCCGTTTTCAAAACTCCTGACTCGAGCAATCCACCCGGCCTTGCCGTCCAGAGGTGCTAGGAATAGGTGTGAGCCACCGCGGCTGGCCAACCCCATCACTTTCCAAAGACTTTCCAGCTTGACTGGTCCAGGCTCGTCTTGTCCTGTTCTTCCCATGCTGCCAATTGCTGTTCCCAGGGAGGCTGTCTTGTTAAGTGGCAGTTAGAACAACAGATGATTATCATGTCACCCCTACCTCCAATTTTTGGCTCTGGCAACAACATTGAGTTTGTTTTAAACAGTTATACCGTGTTCAGGTGCAAAGGTAGGATTGCTCATGTATGTAAAAGTGTCAAGAGGAGGGTCAAAAGTTAGGACTTCTGTTATAGCGCTGAAATTTTTTCCTGTTTTAGGCTTTATAGTGTTGGCTGTGTAATAGAGCGAGTTTGTGTTTTTGAGACAGAGTCTCAGGCGTTTGTTGTCCAGGCTAGTGAGGGCGCGGGGGTGAGCACAGCAGAGAGCGGCAAACTCCTGGCTTCAAGCAATCCTGCGCTCACCCCGATAGCGATTGCACAGCCACCATGCCCGCGAAGTTTTTGGAAGTTGTGAAGAATGTAGTAGCCAATTAATTTCTTTCTATTTATAGTAGAGACGGGGGTCTCGGTCTTGCTCAGGCTGGTTTCGAAGTCCTGACCTCGAGCAATCCGCCCGCCTCGGCCTCCCAGAGTGCTAGGATCACAGGCGTGAGCCACCGCGCCCGGCCCTAATAGGAGCTTTTGAAAAGGACGTGCTCGAGCATCTAGCAGCCTGGTTCCCCTTCCTTGCCCCCCCACCCCCGTTTCCTGTTGCTATGCTGGAGATGGTGGTCAGTCAGCATGGTCATCTGGGGCAACGTGTGAGGTGGCTCCAGCCCTGGAGTGCCAGCTGCTCCCCAGGGCTTGCCCCGCCTCCCAGACAGGGGGAGGAGCCGACATTTCTGTGCCTGGAAGTGCTTCCTGCCACAGAGCATGCCATGCAAGGCATCTCGTCTGTGACAGCATCGTCTGTGACAGCATCGTCTGTGCTGCTGGAAATGCAGGAGTGTGGACGGGTTCCTGGGGGCGGGCGCAGTGTGAGGTCCCCTTACTGCTACGGCAGTGGGCCGTCTGCCAGTGTCTGTGTAGAACAGCAGCAGGTTGGTGGTCATCTTGTCAAACTTCACTCTGTCACCTGCCGTTCAGGTTGGGAGCGGTACCTCAGTTATCTCAGGAAAGTTGTGATTTCATGTCATCTCTTTTTATTAATTTTTAAAATTACTATGGTGTTGATCACGAAGGTCTGTTCTTTTTCCTCCTGTTACACTGGTAAATTTACTGCAGGCAGTCAAGATGAGCAGGTCCACACGTTAGCCGGGAGGTGCGCTGATGAAACCACGAAGCCCTAGCAGAGCTCTGTGCCTGTGGCTCATTTCCTTGGGCAGCTGAAATTCTTAGTTTTAGATCCAAAACAAAATTCTTAGTTTCAGATCCTACGTGATTCTGTAGGACCTGTGTCTCACCCCCGACTCCTCAGTGTCGGGGCCGGGAGACCCCGTGCTGGGCCAGAGGTTGGGGACACTGCGTGTGCACAGCGCAAAAGCCCTGGCCTGGGGTGATTGCACTGGCCCAGACTCCAAGGGCAGCAGGATTTCTCTCTAGGTGAATGTGAGTTCTCTTAGCAAACTGGATTGGCACCTTTGTTAGCATCTTGTTCTGTATCTTTTCAAAGTGTAGAAGTTTACAATCAAAAAAGAAAGCACACTAAAAACCTATTTCAGAGGATTCCGGGAGGGAGGTGTTTCAGGAACCTCACGTCGGCGCTCCATCTCCCGCCGAGGGCCACGCTGTGCTGGTAGAGTCTGTCTGACACCACTGTTTTAGAGCTCTGCCATCTCCAGGAGGTTTGCGACTCTGGGGAGGCTCGGGCAGTGCACTGCGGTCGGTTTCAGCTCTGAGCCCGGTGGCCGTGCTGCACCGGCCATCTCTGTTCCTGGAGCGGCTTACGCACAGCTCTGGGAGCCGGGGTGGGCACAGAGGGCCTGTCCTCCAGTGGCGAGGGGCTGGGCTCTGAGGGCAAGGGGCAGGAAAAGAGGCCTGGCCGCTGTGGCTGTGGCCGCCCTTACGCCCATTGCTATAAGCCCCTCCCCAGGTGACTTCAGGAGAGTTAAAGGGCTGGTGCCCTTGTTATTCCTTCCCGCTTCATTTTTCTCTTTTTTTCCTTTTGGGAGTCAGACATTCAAGCTACTATATACACAGGGAAAATTAGAAAGTGACTGCATGTGCCTAGAGAAAGATGCAGGCTCAGGAAAGGCCTGAGAAGACCTTTATTTTAAATAAACCTCAGGCTGACCCCTGGCACAGAGACAGCCCACAACTATCAAAAAACCCAAAACAATGAACAATAGCAACAACAAAAACAAACCCCGGGGAAGGGAAAACAATGTGTTTTCCAGAGTTTCCAAATTATTAGTTTCAAATGTCCTGTTTTCAGCAAAAAATTACAAGGCATGCAAAGAAATAAGAAGGTATGGCCCATTCAAAGGAAAATATATTCAACAGAAAATGTCACCGAGAAAGATCTGATGGCAGATCCATTAGATAAAGACTTTAAAACAACTCTCTTACTTTAAAACAACTCTCTTTAATGTGCTCAAAAGCTAAAGGAAGATATGAAGAGTCAAGAAAATGTATGAACAAAATGGAAATGTTAGTAAAGAGATGCAAATCTTGTAAAGGAACACAAAGAAATTCTGGAGTTAAAGTGTACAATGATTGAAGTGAAAAACTCACTAGAAGGAGTTGAAGGCAGATTTGAGCTCGCAGAGGGAAGAGTCAGCAAGCTGAGCAACAGGACAGTGGCAATTACCGAGTCCAAGAAACAGGAAAAAAAGACTGAAGAGCGAGCTGGGTGTGGCAGGAGGCCAAGGTGGGAGGATCGCTTGAGGCCAGGAGTTTGAGACCAGCCTGGGCGACGGAGCAAGACCTCATCTCCTAAAAAGAAAGTCGGAACAAGAGTGAACAGAGCCATCGAGGCATTGGGAGCACCCATAGATGCACGTGGGAGCCCGGGCAGCAGAAAAGAGGGAAAAAGGGGTGTGTCTACGAGAATACCTGAGGACAGCGGTGGCGATAAACCTTCAGGGGGTTCAGGGAGCTCCAGGTGTGAGAGGAACTCAGACAGATCCACACTGAGAAATGACAGTCAAACTGTAGAGATCCAAAGACACAGAATCATGAGAGCAGAAGAGAAAAGAGACTCGTCACATACCAGGGTTCTCAGTCAGATGATCAGCAGATTTCTCATCATAAGCTTTGGGGGCCAGAAGGCAGTGGGCTGATGTATTTAAGGTGCTAAAAGAAAACAGAAAAACCTGTCAACCAAGTAAGTATCTTATATCCAGCAAAACTGCCCTTTAAAGTGAGGGAGAAATTATGATGTTACCGTATAAACGAAGTGGAGTCAGTTTGTTACCATTAGACTTGCTCTGCGGGAAATGCTTAAGGGAGCCCGCAGGGTGAAAAGGTGCCAGGTGGTAACACAAACACGCAGTAGAGATAAATACACCAGCAGCTGTAAAAGCTAATATTATTGTAGCAGTGGTTTGTTTTCTGCAGCATTTAAGAGATGAATGCATTTTTTAAAAAACAGTATTATTGTAAACTTTGGTTTGTAACTCTACATTTTTTTCCTCTATAATTTGAGAGACTAACATATTTAAAGGAATTATTAGGCTGTGCGTGTTCTGCCAACATTCCCTTTTTGCGTTTTGCAGAGCTAACACGTCTCTGTGTGTGTTTTTAAGAGATGGGATCTTGGCCGGGCGCGGTGGCTCACGTCTGTAATCCTGGGACTCTGGGAGGCCGAGGCGGGAGGATTGCTCAAGGTCAGGAGTTCGAAACCAGCCTGAGATAGAGCAAGACCCCGTCTCTACTATAAATAGAAAGAAATTAATTGGCCAGGTAATAATATATAGAAAAAATTAGCCGAGCATGGTGGTGCATGCCTGTAGTCCCAGCTACTCGGGAGGCTGAGGCTGGAGGATCGCTGGAGTCCAGGAGTTTGAGGTTGCTGTGAGCTAGGCTGACACCACGGCACTCACTCTAGCCTGGGCAACAAAGTGAGACTCTGTCTCAAAAAAATAAAAATAAAAAAGAGATGAGATCGTGCTACATTGCCTAGGCTGGACTTGAGCAATCCTCCCCTCTCAGCCTCTCCAGTCACTGGGACTGCAGGGATGAGCTGCTGTGCCCAGCTGAAAACATCATGTATTTTTTTCCAGCCCTGTAGTAGTGTTTCCTTTATGTTATAGCAATGACTTTTAGATTTTTTTTTTAAACCTCGGAATCTTAAAAAAAAACAAAATAAAACCAAATATCGTAGAGTCTCATTATATAAAACTAGTCAACCTAGAGCTGCTATGTTCAGAATGGGGTTGGGAACCCCAGGCCCCCAGCTTTCGTTGCTGCTGCCTCCAGCTGCCGGACCTCAGGGCTGCCGTCCCTTCCTTGCCCTCTCGTCCCGTCCCTCAGTAGTGAGCTGGATGGGGTCTTCAGCGATCTTGTCCCTCGGTGTCTGGACTGCGGAGAGGGAAGGCTGTGCTGGGAGCGGACCCGGCGGTGGGGAAGGGCTGGGCTGAGGGCTGTAGAGACAGGCTCCTCCCTGCACGTGAGGACGCAGAGTCCTCGGGAGACCACCCTGGCCCAGCCCCAGGAGTGGGGATGAGGCTGGCTCCCCCCCACCCGCTCCGTGTGCTTCTGCTGCACACACCATTTGTGCAGATCTTTTCATGTGGGACAGGACTTCTCCAGTGTAGCAGTGTCATGCGTCCACCAAGGACACAGGTGGAAGTCACCTCGGGGCTCTGTTGCTTACCGTCTGTGGTTCCTGACTGCAGGGTGAGGTGGTGATGTTTGCTCAGTGTCTCATTGCACATGAGACAGACGGACGGGTGATCTGGGAGGTGTGTCCACATTCTCTGCGATGTGTCTGGCGTGGGGTGCCTGGCCGGGCTGTGCCAACGGCCCATGGGAAGTTGCCTGCCGCGATGGGGTTTGCTGGTGGTTTTGATGATCGGATTTGATGAACTATCTCCTATCTTTAAAAGCCATTTGAATGGTGTTTCTTTTCCTTTCTTGTCCCCTTTTGACTTTTTTTTTTTTAGCTTGCTTGCCTTTTGTTTTAGCAGCTGCAGTATCTCGGAAGAAAAAACGAAGAATGGGAACCTATAGCCTGGTTCCTAAGAAAAAGACCAAAGTGTTAAAACAGAGGACGGTGATTGAGATGTTTAAGAGTATCACTCATTCCAGTGTGGGTTCCAAGGTAAGAGGACCGAGAGTCCCGTGCCACGTGCGCTCAGACGTGTGTGTGTTCAGGATCTGTTTGGCCATGAGAGCGTTCGCGGCCACCTGTGATTTGGGTGAACCGAGTCCCTGTGGAAGGAACCAGAGCTCTGAAGCTCCTGTGTCTGGGGGCCCAGCCCCGCTTCGGGGGCCCGCTGGAAAGCCCACCCCGTCCTCTGCCCTTCCTCCGCTCACCTGCCTGCGGGCTCTGCTCCAGGTGGTGCAGGGCCTCGCGATGCCCCCACAGGCCCTCCCGTCTCCTGAAGCTGTGGGTGGGAGCAGGCTGGCCACGAAGCGCAGGCCCTGCCGTGGGTGGACACTGCTGTGTTCCAGGGCGAGAAGGACCTGGGCGACGGCGCCCTCCACGTGAACGGGGAGAGCCTGGAGATGGACTCGGACGAGGACGACTCGGAGGAGCTGGAGGAGGACGAGGGGCACGGGGCCGAGCAGGCGGCCGCCTTCCCCACCGAGGACAGCAGGACCTCCAAGGAGAGCATGTCGGAGACCGACCGTGCCCAGAAGGTAGGGCGCTGCCGTTCTGGTGGCAGGACGAGGGGGAGAGTCGCCCAGCCGAGCACCGTCGGCTCCGAGGGTCTGCGTCTGGGCGCTTCTGGAGCTTGATAAAATCCGTTTGCGTTTGGATTGGATTTTTATCTTTTGTTTTTCTGGAGTTACTACCTCAGTTTATTTTCATCCAAGAAGTGTTTGTCTTCCCATACAGCATTCATTGAAGGAAGCCTCCTGAGCTTTTTCCTGAACTCTGCGTTGACAGGATCACAGCATTAGTAACCTGGAGTATTGGTGGATGGGCCACGCTGTGCCCGTGGCGGCTGCGTGCGGCCGGCTTTGCGCGACTGTCCTGGGTGTGCCCGGGACACTCTGCAGGGTGCTGTCACGCTCTGCAGGCTGAAGCGTCGCCCCTGTGGAGCAGCGCCCAGGCTAGGTCTCGCCGGGGGGGTGTGCAGTTCTGCTGACGCCCACTCTGTCACGGGCAGGCCGTGCGCCGTCTTCGTGCCATCTTCAGGGACAGCTTCCCGTGTCCCCCGAGGGCAGGAACGGGCAGTGCACTTGGGCCTGTCTCAGCCGTGCCTCGGCCCATGGCCAGACACAGGCAGCCCCTGAACGCCGAGCCCAGTGTCTCAGGGAACCCTAGAAAAAGTTTCTGAGTAGACTTTGAGGTGTAGGTGTAAATTCGTGCCATTTCAGTTCTTTCTGTCTTTTTTTTTTAATTTCACACTATTAAGGTATTAAGGGGGTACAATTTTTTTTATTTTTTTTTTTGAGACAGTCTCACTCTGTTGCTCGGGCTAGAGAGTGCCGTGGCGTCAGCCTAGCTCACAGCAACCTCAAACTCCTGGGCTCAAGCAATCCTCCTGCCTCAGCCTCCCGAGTAGCTGGGACTACAGGCGTTAGCCACCATGCCCGGCCAATTTTTTCTATATATCTTTAGTTTTCCAGCTAATTTCTTTCTATTTTGTTAGTAGAGACGGGGTCTCGCTCTTGCTCAGGCTGGTCTCAAACTCCTGAGCCCAAACGATCTGCCTGCCTCTTGATTCCCAAAGTGCTAGGATGATAGGCATGAGCCACCGTGCCCACCGGTACAAATGTTTCTGTTACATGAGTACCTGTGTAATGCTTCAGTGAGGGCTTTTGGTCTCTTTCAGTTCTGAGAGGGTAAGTCAGGAGCAACACAGGGACAAGGAGGAACCTGGAAAGTTACAAATCAGGCCGGCGTGGCTATTGCTGGTTTCACTGTTCAAGTGTATCGGACTTTTTTGAGAAAACTTTTGTCCATCTCTATTTAAGGTGGAATGTTACACCTAGTGAGTTATTTTAAAACTAACAGTAGGCAGAGAAGTCCAGGTGCATGCATTTGAACAGGCTCACTGGAGAGTGTGCAGTCGTGTCGGTGAGCTGTCTGTGCCCTCAGCCTGCCCTGTGCACTGGGCACACCTTCAACACGTGTGTAAGGCATTTTCTTTCATCCGTCGGAGTTTTGGAGGCGTCTCATTTTTGTTTCAATTTCAAATTCATTTTTAGCAGTTATGTCTGTTCTACTTTTTAAGAAGGTTTTGGGGCAGATATTCAAATTTTGCTCCTAGCTCTGAATTTATTAATAATTATTCAAAAGTAAATTGATGGGAAATATCACCATTAGAGATTTAAAAGGGGTTTAAAAAATGTTTTTTAAAAATCAGTTATTAGTTTTTTCCCCTTTCACATGGAGAAGTATAAAGAAGACCACAGTGTCACCAGCCCATGGTCGGGTGACCCATGGCACACTCTAAACCAGCGTCACAGTCCCCTTCTCGGTGTGGCCAGCACGTCCCAGCCTCCTTGGGGGACTGTTGTCTGGAGCCTCCTTGTCCCGGCCCTGGGAGGAGGGGCCGACCCTGCCCACTCCCGCGCCTCCCTCCCGTCTCTTCCCTGTGCTGCTTTCCGCACTGCTGCAGGGATCCGTCTCGTGCGTCACACTCTGTCCTGCGGGTTTTACCGTTTTGCTTTTGTCACAAGTGAAACTTCAGAGGCATTTAGGGTCTCACGTTTGTTGGGTGTCCTTGGAGACAGTGAACGTCATCTGCATTTAAATGTGGGGTTTCGATGTTACCAGGGATGTTGCCAGGTCACCCGCGAGTCTGTCCTTCTACCTGCAGCAACCTGAGAGCGACATTTCTCCCACCTGCCCCAGCAGATCTGTGCTTTTTGTTGTTTTTTTAAATCAAAAAAAATTTACAACAAAATTAACCTTATTGTATTTTTCCCCACTTAAATTTGTTGGCTAAATCTGTGTTTTGGGAATTTTGGTGTTTTGCTGTTGAAGTTGTGCGTGTTCCCGGCGGTCGGTTGTGTGTTCTTCTGTGAGCCGCTTGCCGAGTTCCTCTCACCACCTCTCCCCGGTGTGCACCTTTCGCCGAGCAGCCCGCGTGAGGGCAGAGCCGGCCCTGCGCCCGCTCGAGCTGCGGCCCCGGCCCCAGGTGCTTCTGTCTCTCAGCCTTGTCTGTGAGGTCGGAACTCACAGGTACTCGTCTATCTCTTTATGATTTCTGGGTTCTGCATTCTAGTTACGACAAACTAGACCTTTCTCACTAGTGATTCTGAATGAATTGACATAAGCTATCTCCTGATACTTCTTTGATTTCATTCTTTTATATAAATGTTTGACTTATATATAATTTATTTTGTTACAGAATGCCAGGTTGATACACTTAAAGTGGCTGAATTTTATGGTAAATTAAATTATATCTCAGTAAAGTTTTTGAAATAAAATGTGAGGTTAGAGTCCCAGGGCTTCCCTCAAAATGGTTAGGCAAGTATTTTGACACCATTTATTGACATTTCTTTCCCCTTCTGATTTAAAATGCCACCTTTATCGTGTGCCATGTGGCCTATGAATTTGAATCTGTTTCCAGATTCTCTCTTGATTTGAGGTTCTCATTTTCCAGAGAGTATCTAGACATTAAGTAATTCTAGTTATTGATATAAAGTAAAAAAATCAAGTGACTGTCAAGCCAAGAAAAGAATCAAGAAACAGAAGCAAATCCAAGAAGAAAATGTGGTCAGTAGAAAGCAAAATTAGATGGCAGGACCAAATCTGAGTAATCTCCACCAGCAGCAAATGGCAGTGGCTCTGGGATGTCACCGTCCCGGAAAACAAAGATGGAAGAAGCACGCTAGCCCATTCTGAGGCTGAGCTGTAGGCCAGACTCACTTAACATCCTAAATACAAAAGTCCTAAATAAAATACTAGTCAAATGCAATTGTGTATTAAAATAATAATGCTCAGCAGGAAGACAGATTCATTACGGGAAATCTGTCAACAGGATTTACTAGGTGAACAGAATAACAAGAAAAACTATATATGTGCTTAGGAGGCATCTTATAAAGTTCAGTCAGTGCTGTGTTTTTGAACTGGGCGGTTTACTTTGTCACTGCACCTGTGACAAGGTGTTGTTCAGTAGTCATCAAAGGAAGGCGCCCCTGTGTGGCCACCACCTGGGCAAAGGCAGGGATTTTACCTGCATTTCAGGAGCCTCCCAGTTATGTACACCCCACACCCAAAGGCAACCTCTTTCCTGAGTGCTAGCACTTGTAGGATTTTGTCTGTTTTTCTTCTTTATGTAAGTACAATTATATAGCATGCATTCTTTTATTTTACTCTGTTATGTTTGTGGAATTTATCTATATTGTTAATTTTCGTTGTAATGGAATAGTGGTTTTTCAAAGTGGCGGTGGTGGAGGACTCCAAGACCCTTTCAGAGTGGACTGCAAGATCGAGACTATTCTAATAAGGCTAAGACTCTATTTACCTTTGCACCCCCACCCCGTGGAGTTACACAGGTGGTCGTCTTTGGTGTAGTGGCTGATGGTGTGTCCTTGTGGCTTGAACACTTCTCATCTTAAATTTCTTCCTTGTCCTTGTCCTTTCATTCCATTCTTCTTCTTTGTTATTTTTTTAAAGAGACGAGTTCTCACTCTGTTGCCCAGTCTGGAGTGCAGTGGCACAATCACAGCTCACTGTGACCTGGAACTCCTGGCTCAAGTGATCCTCCTGCCTCAGCCTCCCGCGCAGCTGGGACTACAGGTTCACGCCACTGCATCTGGCTAATTTTTTTCTATTTGTTGTAGAGATGGGGTCTCAGTTGCCCAGGCTGGTCTCAAGCTCGTGGGCTCAGTCTTCCCGTCTCAGCCTCCCAAGGTGCTGGGATCACAGGTGTGAGCCATGGCATCTGGCCTCAGCTGAAATTTTTACTGCAGTAAATGTCAATAGCTGTAACCCATATTAACAGAAAAGCTCTTTATGGTTCCCAGTGATTCTTTTTACAGAGTCTGGGGGTTCTGAGACCAAAATGCTTAGGAACCACCACCACAAAGCATTCCTTAGTGTGACTGTATTCCAGTCCATGCAGCCATTCCAGTGTTGATGCTCATCTGGGTTTCCAGCTGGGGCTATTACAGATGAAACCACTGCCAGCATTCTTGTACATGTGTGTGTTTCCTTGGGTGCACACCCAGGGTGGGTTTGCCCTGCCTCACGGTAGCACCAGTGGACACTGTCACGCAGCTTCCCAAGGTGTAGCTGGGCTTGGTGACAGGGGCTGTGTCCTGCTGGGTCGGGGACCGGCAGGTCCCAGCTGGAAGCTTGGCGAGGGCAGCCACGGGTCCCCTGCTTGCCCCCCTGGTCTGCTCTCATCCTGGCTGGCGCAGGTTTTAGCTCTCTCAGTTCAGCTACCTCAGAATGCAGGTCCCTTTTCATTTGTTTATTTTCATGTCAGCCGTTGCCCCCTCTCCGTCCAGTGGCCCAAAGTTTCCCATGTGCGTGCTCCTTGGCTGCCATGTGCATGCTCCTTGCGTGCCATGTGCAGCGTGTGAGCAGCCTCATCCTTCCACGCAGCCACCGCACCGGAGCTCGGCGGAGTGACGGCAACTGTGTGTTGATCTGCCTCTTTCAGTTGGCAGTTTCATTGCTCAGTCTTGTTTAAAATACAAAACTACCCAACGAAATTAAAAGGAAACTCACATTAAATAAAGCTGACTAAAACTGTCAGAATCCTACAAAAAAGGTTATTTCACGGTGAGAAATTCGAAGCATTCCTCGTCGGTCATGAAAAGAGGGAGGACTTGCTGCGTTCACCTCTAGCACGAGCACAGCAGTGTTGGCGGCGCCTGTGGGCTCTGTAAGAGCAGAACCAGAAAGCAACATGAATGTATAAAAAGACAAGGAGGACGGGTTTGCTGAGAATATAATCGTCTATCTAGAACACACAGGAGGATCAGCTAAAAGACTGTTACATCTAGCGAGACGAACTCGAGTGTGATCAAGACGTGAAAACCGTTTTCTTGTAGAGCTGCAATAACCAGTTAGAAAATGTAATGTCAGCAATGTCAGGGAAATCAGTCAGTGCCTAGGGGCATTTTAAAAACCTTTCCAAGTAGAAAATTTCAAAATACACAGACAGAGAACAGTGTGCTGTCATTGGCACCTGGTCAGTCTTGTCCATACTCGGATTGTCTGAACCAGATGTTTCAGCATAGATCTTTAAAAGATAAGCAATCTTTGGGAAAAACCCCACAGTATCACACCTAAAGTAGCTATGATTTCTTATAATATCACCAGAGTACCTAGGAATAAATTTAACAAATGTGTGTGACCTCTAAAAGGAAAACTGATAGAACTTTGCTGAAAAAGTTAAAACAACTTAATTTAAGTTCATGGAAAGACCGAGTCTTTGTCTGAGTGAGAAGATCCACTGTTTTATTTCCCCCACGCTCATCAACACATTCAGAGCAGCTCCCACCAGCATCAGGAGGGATCTTTGCAGAACTGCTGATGCGCGGTTACCATGGACGCGGAGCTCCTCCACAGTGGCCTGGGCTGCTGGCACGGGCGGGAGCGGCGGGGACAGGCAGGAGGTGGTGAGCAGAGCAGGGTTTGCACACACCTGTGTGGTGTTAAAGATGTCGTTATGGTAAGAGTGGGGTTTTAAATCAGTGGTCAAAGGGCCATGGACTTTTTAATAAAGATTATTGGGACAATTGACTAATCTTCTGGGGAAAAGCAGAGGCCATGCCTGCATCATGGTGTGTGGCAGACATGAGCTGTGGTCTGGGCCTGGGTGGTATTGGTGGCCACACAGCTCCTGAATACACCAAAAACCACTCAGCTATACACTTTAAAGCGCCAGTTTTAGAACAGGTGGATTCTGTCTTACCATAGCTCATATTTTAAAAAGTAAATTCCAGAAGACTGAAAGTGTGAACACAAAATGTTGAACTACGGATGAGAATACTGGCAACTATTTTTCTAATCTCTAATGAGGAAGGCCTTCCATTGTAAGACACAAACCCAGAAGCCACGAAGGAAAAGATGGACATCTTTGAGTTGTTCAGATAAAATCTAAAAGTTCTACTTAACAAGAGATAACAGATGCAAAGCTTAAAAACCATAATAGGAAAAATATCAATAACATAGTTTACAGACAAAGGGTTACTATCCTGTGTGCGTGTAGTATGTGTTTAGTGTATTTAGTATGTGTAGTGTGTATGTAGTATGTTTATAGCATGTATATAGTATAGTGTGTATGTAGGGTGTAGTATGTATGTATAGTATTGTGTAATGTGTGTAGTATATGTGTGTATAGTGTATGTGTGTGTGTAGTGTATCTGTAGTATGTGTGTGGTGTGTATGTGTGTGTGTAGTGTATCTGTAGTATGTGTGTGGTGTGTATGTGTGCGTAGTGTATCTACAGCATGTGTGTAGTGTATGTGCAGTATGTATGTAGTGTATGTGTAGTATGTGTGTAGTGTATGTGCAGTATGTGTTGTGTGTAATGTATCTGTAGTATGTGTGTCTAGTGTGTGTGTAGTATGCATGCAGTGTATGTGCAGTATGTGTTGTGTGTGTAATGTATCTAGTATGTGTGTAGTGTATGTGCAGTATATATGTAGTGCATGTGCAGTATGTGTTGTGTGTATGTGTATGTGGTGTGTCTTTAGTATGTATGTGTAGTATGTGCATAGTGTGTGTAGTATATATGCAGTATGTGTTGTGTGTAGTGTATCAGTGTGTGTGTGTAGTGTATGTGCAGTATGTGTATTGTGTGTAGTGTATCTGTAGTATGTGTGTGTAGTATATATGTGTAGTATATGTGTGTTGTGTATATGCATGTGTAGTGTATCTGCAGTATATGTGTGTAGTGTATGTGTGTGTAGTGTATGTGTAGTATGTATGTGGTGTATGTGCAGTGTGTTGTATGTGTGTAGTGTATCTGTAGTATTTGTGTATAGTATATGTGTGTTGTGTGTATGTGTGTGCAGTGTATCTGTAGTATATGTGTAGTGTATGTGCAGTATGTGTTGTGTATGTGTGTATAGTGTATCTAGTATGTGTGTACAGTATATGGGTGTAATGTGTGTTGTGTGTATGCATGTGCAGTGTATCTGTAGTATGTGTTTAGTGTATGTGCAGTATGTATGTGTGTATAGTATGTGTGTAGTGTATGTGCAGTATGTGTTGTGTATGTGTGTAGCGTATGTAGTATGTGTGTTGCATGTGTGTTGTGAATATGCATGTGTAGTGTATGCACAGTATGTGTGTTGTGTGTAGTGTATGTGCAGTATGTGTTGTGTATGTATGTGTAGTGTATCTGTAGTATGTGTGTTGTGTGTGTGTGTGTAGTATATCTATAGTATATGTGTGTAGTGTATGTACAGTGTGTGTATTGTGTGTATGTGGGTGTGCAATAAGTGTGGCTTCTGCAAATCAGGGGGGATGCGAGGACTCAGCAGGAAAACGGGCCGAGAATGTGGCTGACAGGACAGCAGAAGAGACAGAGCGTGGTGAAGTCACGGAGAACACACAGCCCCCTGGGTACCTGGCAGTGAGACCCACGTCACGAGCTCCTGGAAAGGCTGTGGCGCCTCAGTGGGTGTGGCCTGCAGCAGCTCGCAGTGGGAGAGCTGTGTGCCCTTTGACTCAGGAGCCCCACGTCCAGACATGCCCCTTGCAGACGCAGCGCGTGTCTCTCGGAGAGCCCTGGCTTGTGTAGGACACCCTGAGTGTGCAGTCGCGTGGTGTGTGTGGATCAGGGAATGTGGCGTGACCGCAGGGTCTTTGACGCTGGACAGGTATTCACGTGTTACTTGTGCAGATAGATCAGGTAACTACAGCAGAATAAACAAGGAGTCTCCATTCTGGTGTGGAAAGAGTGCTAAGACATTCTTAATTAGAAGCACACAGAGTCACAAAAATGTGTTCGGTGCCTGCCGCCTGTACACGGAAGCGCCCTCACCTGAGGCCACGTGTGTCGAGTCGTTGGCGAGGAGACGCGGGCATCTCGCAGTGGTGGCTCCGGGGGACAGGGGATAGTGGGGTGTGGGGTAGGCTTGCACTGCATATTCCTCTGAAAGTCTTCTTACAGTTTGTGTGTTTGTTTTGTTACTTTTTAAATTGAATTCTCCCACGTTTGAGGCGCAGGGAGCACACTGACCTTCGCCAGGGCGGGGATCTGTGGTGTCCGGTGGAGCCCTGCGTGAGAGTGTGCCAGGGCGAGCACACGGCGCAGGCGCAGACCTGTCTGGGACAGGGTGCTTAGGGGGAGCAGGAGTGGAAACTGTGCCTGGTTGTCCGCCTGGGCCAGCACGCGGCCTCCCACAGCCGCCAGGCGGTGCGGCCCGGGCACCGGACTGGGCAGGCCGCTCTGCTGTGCGTCCCCAGCATGCACTGCTGCAGCGTTCCTAAACAGCTGTTTGGATCCGATCATCTGCCACTAGGGAATCTAATTAGTTCTTATTTTCTGTTTGGTTTTCCGCCTCTCGACCGCGTGGCTGATCAGGTGGACGGGGAGTCTGAGGAGGAGCCGGAGTCGGCCGACACTGGGGAGGAAGAGGAAGGCGGTGACGAGTCGGACTTGGTGAGCGGCGCTTGGTGCTGTCCCTGGCAGTCACAGGAGAGCTGCCCGCCTGGGCGCTGGGTTGGCAGACTGGGGCAGAGCATGGCCCCGCCAGCCGGCTGCCGGCGTGAGTGGGGCGGCAGCGAGGGCAGTGTTGGGATCCTGCCGTGGTGGCCGGGGTGAGAGCAAGGGAGGCCGGATCCGAGGTGTTCCGGGTAGAACAGACAGGACTGCAGGTGGGTCGGCTGCCACGCAGCGGTGAGGGGCAGGAGGAAAGGGAAGATGCTGAAGTCTGTCGGTCCCAGGGGGGAGGGTCCAGGTCTGAGTCGTGCGCCCAGGTCTGCGGGAAGTGGGGGAGCATGGATGTGGGCGGGGCGGGGCAAGGCTGAGGGCTGCATGCTGGCAAGGGCTGAATGGAGAACCAGTGGAGAACCAGGGGCTTGTGACACAGAGATCTTTGGGCTGCAGGAAGAGAGCTCGGAGGAGCTCGGGGGACCTGGGAAGCACTCTGAAGAGGGAGGAAGCTGTCCGAGGTTGGCTGGTCAAGTGGGGAGCAAGAGGAGCACGCAGATGGAGCTTGGTGGGCCGTTTCTGTGGCATGGCGGGGGGCATTGGAGTCAGGCAGCAGCAAACTTTGGGCACAGCGCAAGTTCTGCTGTGTGGGGAGCACAGTTGGAGCAGGGCTGTCCGTGACAGACAGAGCTCTGGACACCAGGGCAGGGGACCCGCTCCTGCTGTTGGCGAGGCAGCTGCTTGTGCCTTGTGTCTGTCGGGTCTTCGCAAGCATGTCTGCACAGCCACGGGAGGAGGGAGTTGTGAGACCACCGCACTCCAGCACTGCGCTGCCTGCTAGCACAGAGGGCTGGGCACACCCGCTGCACCTACAGGGCCTGGCACCCAACGCCCTTTCTGCATCTCTGTTTATTTTTCTTGTTTTTTTTTTGTTTGTTTGTTTATTTTTGGAGACAGCGGGGTCTCGCTCTGTTGCCCAGGCTGCAGTGCAGCAGTGGGATCCCAGCTCACTGCAGCCTCCAACTTCTGGGCTCGGGCATCCTCCTCCCTCAGCCTCCGGAGTCGCTGGGACTGCAGGCCACGCCACCACGCCCGGCTCCTTTATGCATCTAGATTTTAGAAACAGATACTTAAAAAACTTGAAATGTTATGAATTAATAATAACCTCTTCTCCTTGTTCTATATGTAGATAATTAATGTGGGTCTAGATTCTGACTCAGTTGAGGCACTGATTGTTCTTTCTTGTGAGCAAGTTGAGTGGATGCATGTGATTAAAAGTGGATTCTCTCTTCCTGAGTTTATTTATCTAGTTTCTGAATAGAACTTTACAGTTTATTCTTTTCTTTTGTGCCAAACTCAAATAAGATTTATAAATACCATTTTAATTTTCTTGGCTTTTTTGCCTCTAAAAAACTGAACTTAGGGAGATGTTTAGGGGAAAGCATGGATATCTTTAAGAATGTGATCCATAAAAATGTCTGAAAGTAAAATTAATCTTTTGATTGAAGAGTCAAGGTACAGCAAGTATTTTATTTTGCAGAGAAACAAAACTTCTAGTATGTTTGCTTTCAAGAGCTCCCTGTGCTCTGCTGTTTATGCACCTACCCTTTGGTCCTCCAGAGTTCTGAATCCAGCATCAAGAAGAAATTTCTCAAGAGGAAAGGGAAGACCGACAGCCCCTGGGTCAAGCCTGCAAGGAAAAGGAGGCGGAGAAGTAGGAAGAAGCCCAGCAGTGCACTGGGTGAGCACCGTCCTGGGGTGGGCCGAGGGGCAGCCTGGGCTTATGGGGTTGGGCTCTCAGAGGATTTCATTTGAAAAGAAGCCTCCACTGTTAAAAAAAAAAAAATATTCGGAAGGGCTTTGTTGGAGAAACTCAGGTGATCCCAAGTGGCTTCCTCCTGGCAGACCTAGCTGACCGTGACCTCGTTGTTGATGCTGAGCCCGCACAGGGAGCCGAGGCACCTGGGGCCTGGCTGGCAAGTCCCAGGGTGCGGTGAAGGGAGGTCTGTGGCCACGTAGCTGCCCTCAGGGTCCTGAGTGGCCTGCATCTCCATCCACGTGGCGGCCTTGGCCTTTGGTCAGAGTCCCCTGTTGCAGGAGTGATTTTGTGGATTACGAGGTGAACGCAGGGAAGAAAATCGCCCCTCAAACCCAGAGAGCTGCAGCAGGGTTAGTGTGCCAAGGGTCGTTTTTTTTAACACCGTAATTGAGGTACAGTTGGCGCAGAATAGAACATACATAAAGTCCCCAGTTTGATGAGTTTTGACATGTTTATAACCATGAAACCATCACCACGATTAATACTGTGAACGTTTCATCACCCCAGGCCCCTCCACTCAGGGTCCATGGCACAGACCTCCCTCTTCTGTGCCCTGGGGAGTGTCCACACAGATGGTCACCTGCCACCCCAACCCACCCCTCCCCCAGCTGCCCCTTCCTTCCCCCAGCAGCCATGGCTCTGCTATTTTTACCAGTTGGTTCCTGCTTCATAGTAGTTTATATCGATGGAGTCATTCAGTGTGTTCTCTCCCCCGTGGCTTCTCTGACTGCACAGATAGTCTTGGCACCATCGCACTGTTGTATGTGTGACTGGTTTCTTTCTGTCTGCTGTGGGCAGTGTTCTGTTGTTTGGCTGTACCACGCTTTGCTTATCCATTTACCTGTTGATGGACGGTGAGCTCTTTCTTGTCTTGGGCTGTTAGAAATAAAGCTGCTGTGAACACTTGTGTACAAGGCTTTGTTGAGCAGACGCTTTCCCTTGTCTTGGGTGGATGTTTCGGAGTGGAACAGTAGAGGGGCAGGTGTACCTTCAGGTCTTTAGGAAGCTGCCAGCCTGTTTTCTAGAGCGCTTGTCCTGGGTTAGATGCTACCACCGCACACGAGAGTGCCAGTTCTCCTGTGTCCTTGTCAACACTCATGCGGGTCAGTCTGTGTTTCAGTGGTTCTGCGGCGTGTGCGGTGGCACCTAGCCAGGTTCAGCCTGTGTTCCCCGACCAGTAGCGAGACTGCGACTCTTAGCTGTAGCCGGCTTGCTTTGTGAAGTTTCTGTTCATGTCCTTTGCTCACTTTTTAAATCAGGTTGTTTTCATTAAGTTGTAGGAACTTTTAAAATATTATGGTTATAAGTCTTTTATCAAGTGGGTGTTTTATGTGTATTTATACTTAGTCTGAGGCCTGCCTTTTCATTTTCTTAATGGCATATTTAGAAAAGCAAAAGTATAAAAAATTTTATTAAAGTCTAATTTATGAATTGTTTTCCTTTATGGTTCATACTTTTGTGCTCTAAGAAATCTTTGACTAACCCACGCACAGAGCTTCCATCCCATGTTTTCTTCCTGAATGCTCACAGTTTCAGTGCTTGCACGGGTGTCTGGTTCTTTCTAAGCTCACGCTTCCCCATGGTAGGGTTGTGGCGAGTCGCGTGTGTGCAGGTGTAGACCTGCACTTGTTCCTGCTCCACTGGGTGGACGGGCTTTTCTCTCCCCGTTGAATCACCTTGGGACCTTTGTTGACAGCTGGTGTCTGGGGCTATTTGTGGACTTTCTAGTCTGTTCCGTCTGTCCTTACACCAGTGTCAGGGAGCTGTGGCACTTGCTTTCTTTTCAGTCACTTTGGCTCATCCTCTAGACCCTCCCGAGCGGGCGGATGGTGCAGTCACGGGGGCTCCGGGTTGTGGGTGAGCTGGAGCCTCCTGGGAATCATGTCTGTCCCTTCAGTCCTGTTTCTCTGTTCCTCAGCTTTGTCTGCTGACGTCAGAACACTCGATGTGGTTTTTACTGTTGGCCAACAAGAGGGTTTGCAGATCCGGGTCTAAAGTTGTCTTGGGGCTAGATAGAGACTTTGCCTTTGTTGCCCTGGCTGTAACGTGTAAATTGCATGCTTTCAAATTCTTACATAGGAATTTGGATTTTATTCTTTATGAATTTTATTTTTTATTTCTTTAAGTTTCAAATTGTACAAAGCACTCATGTTCTTCCTATTGATACAATATGATTTCTGAAAGGTCTGTCTGTCTGAGGTTTAGGTGCAGAATCTGGCATGAATTAAAGACTAGGGAGAACCCACCTCTTTGTGCTAGTGGCTCACTTCTTTCTGGTCATTGGAATAACGCTGATGACCAGCATGCAGAAGCATGGCTGTGAGGGGCCGTTGTCTGCCCCGTGCTCGGACTAGATGTCTCCTGTTGCCAAGTGCACACTTCACAGGCTCGGTAAACACCCTCACAGTCACAAGCACCCACCTTGGGCTGTTTTCCGGCCCTCCTGGGAAGTGTGTGGAGGCTGGCCTGCTGCCACCGCCACTCAAGTCCTCAAAGGCGGGGGGGGGGGGGGGGGGGGGGGGGGGGGGAGGGGGACACTCAAGTGGTTGAACTTCCCACGTCCCTTGCTGCTGGGCCCGGGGAGCCAGCTGCCCGTCAGCCTTCCTGCTCCCTGGCACGTGCAGGTTCCACTGCCTCCAGGGAGCGGCACCCTTCTCGAGCCACCCGTGTCCAGTGGGGTCGACACTAACCCTGCCCTGGGAATTGCTGGGCACTTTCTAGCTGACACTGTTTCCCAGTGACACGGCCGGCACCTTTGGGGCTGTCTCTTCAGCCACTTCATACCAGCCAGTCCTTTAAATCTTCAAATTAGAATTTTCTGTCATTTAAAAATAATTCATAGAACACATGTATACCACATTTTTATCCACTTCCTTGATTATTTGATCGGCTTTCATGTAGCTGCATATTTGAGGAGAGAGATGTGTTGACATGGTAGCATCTTTGTTTTTCTTGATACGGCTCCCTGTCCCGCGGATGCTGCATAGGGGTAGGCGGGAAGGGGGACGTGGGACTACTGCGATGGCCTGAGCCACAGTGGGTTTCCGTCTGTCTTTGAGCAGATTGCCCAGAATCAGTCCGCGTCCTGGGCCTGGCTGCGCACCCTCTAGGCGGGCGGCTCTGGGGTGCAGTGTTTCACGGTCTGTGCATTTTGCATCTAGGTTCTGAGGCTTATAAGCCGTCTTCGGGAAGCACAGAGCCCACGGCGCCAGGAGGCAGCACAGGGTATGTGGAAGTTTCTCTGGACTCCCTGGATCTGCGCGTCAAAGGGATCCTGTCCTCGGGAGCCGAAGGTGAACGCCGTGTTATGCCCGCGGCTGGCACCATGTTGGTTCTCTGTCTGCTAGCAGGATGCCCCTGGTGGGTCCTAGTGGGAAACGTGGTCACACGCGTCACCTAAAGTGACCGAGTAGGCATGATACAGAGCACGTGTGCTGTGTCTCTCAGCGCTCAAGCAGGAAGCGGAAACCCTGGAAACCTCCAGGGTGAAGTAGGAAACACTCAGGCGGGAGCAGCGTGCTCTGTCTCACCACGCTCTCCCACGTGGCCCAGACTCGCCTCTCCGCAAGGCCCGAGGGAGGTGCCCCCTGCCTGGCCGTGTCTCGGTGTGCTTGGGGGGACAGGATTTTGGGGACTGCCTAATGGTCTCTGGTGCCCATTCTGATAGGTTGAAAATGTCTTCTGGTTAGAGCTGAGCTGCCTGTTCTCAGGCACGTTCCGTGAAGGGGCGAAAGGCAGGTGGCGTGCTGTTTTCCCGCCTGCAACCACAGGCGCAGCAACAGCTTCCCTTGGACGTCTCCTGCCGTGGTTAGCGCTCACTCGCCCGTTCCTCTGTCAGCTGTTAAGCTGCTGAAAGCCTGTGTCACGGTCCTGCGAGTCCAGTATACTGCCTCCCTCGCTGCTCTGTCGCGTGGTCTTTAGCGTGAGAGCTCTTTCTGAACTGCTCACTCTGTTTCATTAATTTCCTTATTCTTAGACCACAATTACAGCATTTATGAATCTACTTTTGCACCTAGTGAGGCAAATACCCTCCGTTCTTATTTTTCAAAATGTTTGTATTGGGTTTTGGTTGTTTTTGGTTTTTTTGACTCTTTTATCCAAATTTGAAGTAAGTGTCTTAAAATTTCACTTCACACCTTCCCCCCATCCTCCAGGGATACTGTTTGGAACTGCTGTGTATTTATGAACACACTGCATCTCTCCGTTTATGTGAGACTCCTCTTACGCCCCTAACGCAATGCCATGATTCGCTTTGCACAAGAACCACATTTCCCTTGCTAAGACCGTTCTTGAGTATCTTATGTTTGTCACTGTTACACATGATATTTCTTTCTGTTACATTTTCTAACTGCATATTTCAATAGGAAATATTTATTTTTATACCTTTGCCTTGGATACAGCCAGTTTACTGAGCTCACTCATTAATTATAAAGCAGTTGTCACCAAACTTGTCTGCACATTAGAATCACTTTTAGGGATCTTTAAAAATTCCAAAATCTAGGACACATCCATATCCGAGGACAACTAAATCCCAGTCTCTGGCTTGAGGCTCAAGCAGCTGGCGGTTTTGACATTCCCCATGTGGATGCCAATGAGTGGATAAATTTGGGAACCACTATTCTAAAGGATTTTCCGCCAGTTCTTTGGGTTTTTGAGGAATATTATCTTATCATTTGCAAATAACTATAGTTTATCTTTTCATTCATTTATAATCATTGTATATTTTTTTCATGTTTTATTATATTACCTAGAATTTTTAAAGCAATGTTAAGTAACAATAAAAGCAGACATCTACAAAAAAAAAAACCCTTATTATCAATGAAAAGTAACTAATACCTGTTTGATCGTTTGGAAGATGTATTTGAAGCGTAATGTGGAAACATTTGAGATCCTGTGTTGTTGACATTCCACATGGATCTTGCATTGGGGGCTTGTGGGTGAATGCTGATTTTAATGAATCACTTTCAAAATGACAAATAGGTAGCTTTTTAGGGTTTTGAACACCAGGCGAGGCTTGATTCACCTATGTAATTTAAGAAATCACATCTTTAGCTTAAGACACAAACTCTAGGCTTGCCCATCAGAGAAACAATGATTGTTTTCCTCCTTGCACCACCAAGTGGAGCAAAAACCCCTCTTGAATATGCTGAAGTCCTTGGCAAAGTCACCTGTGCTTGCTTTCCTGGTTAAGCATAACACCGTGTATTTACGTTTTCTAAACTTGCTTTTAGATTTGGAGGTATCAGGAAGTTATAGATTGGGTTGTAAGTAGGAAATAGTGTTTCGTTTGATCAAATCGACGACTCTGCCCTGGCGACCTCGGCTTGCTGAGCGACGGGAGAAAGAGTGAGATGGCACAGAGGGCCCTGCGGCCTGTGAGTGTTTCTGCTCTGTCTGTAAAAGCAGCTGAAAAGTCACGTGAAGGGTCTCCCAGAGTGGCTCTGTGACCGGTCAGCACCGACTGACCGAGAGGACTGGCAGTGGAAGGAGCAGCAGTGCTGCTCTCCGTGCTCGTGCCTGAGGCACCGGAGCTGGGCGGGAGGCTGCAGAGCTGGGGCTTCCTGGAGACCAAGGCCGTGCACCTCAGACAGGACGGTGCGCAGGGCCAGTGGGCTGGGGACGGCTCCAGCTGTGGTTCAGGAGGGTCCAGGCCTGAGCCTTGGACCCAAGAGAGCATCCGTGCGGAGATGGGAAACCCTCTCGCTTGCACTGTGTCTCCTGCTGCCTCTGCTCTTGGCTCTCCCAGCCCAGGCCGAGTGATGAAGGCCAGGCGGGCGGGGGCAGCTGCGGGGGCAGCTGCGGTGGCAGCGTGGGCTGCAGGGGAGTCCTTGGATCCCTCATGAGATGTCCCTGCAGATTCCCCGCTGTGGGCACACAGCCCAGGTGCCAGGAGACGGCGCTGCCTGAGTGCAGAGCCGGGTCTAGCCCATCTCACCTCAGCCTGCTGGACAGTTCTGAGGCTGCTTTGTGCAATCTGTGTCTGTCGTCTCTTTGCATCGCTGAGCAGGGTGTCTCAAGCCCTCCCAGGTTTAGCCTTGTATCATCCCTGACTTGAGTTTTACTACCTCGTTTTCCTGACCTTTTGGGGTGTGGGAGATCCTGAGGAGAGGCCGGCGGGCCAGGCGGCAGGTGAGCGTGTCACCGCCGCTGTGTTGGAGTTGGGGAGGCTGGGGGCCTCCTCCCTGCAGAGACTGTGGCTCTGCCGTCCACGTTTGCCACGTTGACTGCCACACTAGGAAAAAGGTTTTTTCCTTGGGGCCACAGTGTTTTATTATGAAAACAGAACAAAAGCGTTGAAAGAAAAGCGATCATTTCTAACTTAATGAAAACTTTGTTATTTTTTATTGCTTTTTGTGCGTGAGTTATATGCAACTTGAAAAATAGTTCATACAGCTTCCGAGGTAGAGACGTCCGAGTTACGTATGCTTCACAAGGCCCTGGGGTCAAGACTGGTGTGAGTTAAATGTAACTCATGTATCAGTTAATGTGCTATTGGCCCTTTGCATGGATCCAGGTCCCCTCTTGGCTGTGACTAGTGTCAGATTCAGGATGGGCTAGAGATGAGCAGAGCAACGACTCAGCATGGGTGTTGTTGAGAGGTCAACTGAGGCACAAGCAGCAGTTCGTGAATTAGGCAGCCCCACACGAGAAGTGGTCTGGGAGCTCCACCCAGGGAGCATAAGGGGAAGGCTCTCACGGGCAGCGTGGAAGTAAAGCAGGGGAGGTGCATGCTTGGTGCAGTTGCGTGGTTGCCTGTCTGTCCTGCTGGAGCGTCCCTGGTTGTGTGTGTTGGTTGGGTGCTTTTGATTGGTTGAGTGTAAGTTCCATTTTTCTTTAATGTAGACATTTGCAAGAAATAGCCCACAGTTTCATTTATATTTTCAAATCAAGCAAGGTCAGGCAGCCTCCTTGGCTTACCTGGCTTTGTCTCCTTGGGGGTTCTTTTACGCTTTTTCTTCCTTTTGATTTACTTTAACAGTGTATTTTTTAGATGTGGAAACACGAATTAATTATTTTTAATTGAGGGAAGTCAGTAGTGAGTGTTTGAAGCACTTCCCTTACATTTCTCCTTCGTTTCACAAGGGAAGAGCATGAAATGCTGCCTGGCTTCCTCTAGGAGCGAGCGGCAGCCACTGGTTGGGCTCAGGGCGTCTTGCTGGTGGCCACCCTCTGCCCACCCACCTCAGTCTGTTCTGGGGGTGATTCCTGCTTTTGCTGCCAGTAACTTCTTTGAACCTAATTATCCTCTAGTTTGTTTTTTTATTTTCCCCAACTCTTCTCCCCTTAACCTAATAAATGGGCTCTCTGGACTGTGGTAGTAGGTGAGTGATATTCTAGATAACAAATAAGCCACTATTAAAGCCTTACAAATTGAAAACATTTTGATGGCTGGAATTCTAAAACCAAGTGAGGGAGACAAGGTCTCAACGGGTAGTGAATGCTTTTTTGTGTGGAAACCAAAAGATTTAGGAGCTGCCGCTGAAGGTGCAGCCTCTCTCTTTTGAACTTGGGCCCTGGGTCTGAGGACACAGAGTGACGAGCCCCTCTGGTGCCCTGGCGGGGGGTGCGTTCTCGGGAGACCCACAGGCGGCTCCCTCGGCCGTGAGGGGTATTTAGTGGGCATCAGACACTCCCTGCCGTGCAGGGCCATTGTGCCCGTGTAATCATCCATGTTGCGTTTATTTCCTTGCACACGAGATCACTGTCAAGACTCTATGATTGAGAACCGTCCGCTTTCTGGACAGTTCTGTTGAGGTTGGGATTGCCTGCGCTGACGTGTGTCTGTGTAACGTTAGGGTTGGCCAACGGCCCGGACGCGCTGGAGACGGACGGCCTCCAGGAAGTGCCTCTCTGCAGCTGCCGGATGGAAACGCCGAAGAGCCGCGAGATCACCACCCTGGCCAACAACCAGTGCATGGCTACTGAGAGTGTGGACCATGAAGTAAGCCCGTTTACTTTCACTTACACAGCAGGGAATTGGCCCGTGCCGCGTGCCGGCGGGAAATAACTGCAGACAGTGAAACCAGGCACAGGTCTAGAGCGTGTTAGGAAGGAAGATGGTACAAACTGTGTTTGAATGTAAGTGGCCTGTTTGTTTCTCTCTGTGGTCATGCTTTCATAAAGGTTTTCCTGCTCTGCTGTGGAGCGGGAGGTGAGTAGGTAGACACCGGAGGGCTGTGCCAAGGTGAGCCTGTGCCCAGGCCCCCGCCCACGCGCTCCTGCGGTAACAGGACAGGAGGGACAGGCAGAGCACAAAGAGAATTTGCGTTTTCTGAGAATCTCTCCAATTCTTCTTTACAAGATTTCTTTTAGCCCTTGGAGCCACCTGACCGTGGCTGGCCGTGAGGAGGGGCTGCTGAGCGGAGGCTTGTTGGCACGAGGCCAGCAGAGGCGCCACATGCACCCTGTGTCCGTGGGCCTGGCTCTGTGTGCGCTGGAACCAGGTCAGCACAGGCGCTCTTAGTTCTGTCCGAGTCCCGACGCAGGTGTGTGGTCGCCATTCGCAGGAGATCTCCAGGCTTTTTGGTCTGTGGTGCCATCCTCATCAATGCGGTCACTGAGTCTCACCTGTGAGTCTTAGAGATCAGTGAGATACTGACAGCGACAACCCACACGGCGCTTCCGGTGTGCCAAGCCCTGCGCGGAGACCGCACCCACATAGCTCCCCTGGTCTTCGCGCAGCCTGTGCAGCACAGACTGCCACTGCAGCCCGCAGGCGAGCCCAGAGGGGTCAGGCCGTGTGTCCAGGGGCGCGCCTCCCAGGGGCTCAGGCAGCGCCAGGAGTCGGGCTGCGCGGTTCTGCCCGTGGCGGCCCGCCGGGGTCTGGTGCCAGCCAGTAGATCCAGCTTGGCTGGAACTTCGCTTTTCTGCTGATGCTGCGGGCCTGGGGGCCACCGTGGAGGACCACAGGCTGTCCTTGTTTCTCCTCCAACTGGTGTCAGGGCTTGCAGTCACGACTCAGTTGGGAGACTTACTTCCCAGGTGAGGTTAACATCATGGTTCACGCGCACAGCGCCCATGCGCTGACTCAGACACCTGCGCCGTTCTGCCCCCTCCCAGCCTCAGCAGCTCTCACCGTGGCACATGTGGCCAGCAGGTCCTCACCTCAGGAACACGCGTGTCACCTGCTGCATGCTCTGTCACACTCGGCCTCTCCACAGAATCCTTCCACTTCTTTAAAAGAACGTTTAATAGTGAAAAAGCAGAACGCAGCCTTCGGAGCCCACTGGTGTTTCTCTCACCTGCTGTCCTTTCTTGGCTTGGAGCTGCTGTGTTGAAACAAACTCCACTTCACCACTCAGTATCTCAGTGTGCATTTCCGTTAAGAAAAACAGCATTTTCCCACATAGCGGCAGTGCATTCTCACATGCGATGGGAATAACAATATTTCCTGTTATTACGTAGTGCCTCGTCCGTAGTTAGATGTCTGTCAGAAGAAATGCCTCTTGCTCTTTCCTCTAATTGGCTCCAGACAAGTTCTGCTCATTAAGTCTTGCAATGTCTTAGTCTCTTGTGTCTCTTTAACCCAGAACATCCCTCTGCCACCGCTTCTTCCCACCGAGACTGGACCGCAGGTCCTGGATTTAGCTGATGGCTTTCTTGCTGTGTTCTATAAGTCATATCCCTAGTTCCTGGAGCCTGGAAGTTAGATTTGAAGACTTGGGTCGATGCAAGTACTTAAGGTTTTTATTTTGTGATTCGGTTGTGGCAGAGCTGCTTTGAGGGGGGGCTCTGGGAGCTGGGGGTGGTGCTAAGATGAACCGGGATTTTGCAGTGGCCGCCTGTCCCTTCCTCACCTGCCTTTTGCCCGAAGGTTTCACCTCTTGTCCCTGTGACCACCACCTGAATCCAGTTTTCCATCAGAAGTTGCAAAATGGTGACTTTGCAATTCTGTCATTCCTCCTGCCAGCCACAAGCTAGAATTCTTTGGTATGGAAGAACATTCCCTTATCTGCTAGTTGTCTTTGGTGCTTCAGAAATAGGTCTTATGGACAGCAGAGCAAATAGCTACTCATCTCTCCTTTCAGAGGAACGAAGTGATGCTCCCTCACCCTCAGTGGTGTCCTGGCGGCTTGCCTTTGCTCCTGTCTGTCCTCTCCACCTCCTTTTCTGCCTTCGTCGTGCTTAGAAACTCATGGTCTTTTCTGTATTGAGTGTGTTGTGAACTTTTTTCTTATAAAATTAAACACAGATCCAGAGCATCATACAAAACAAATGTTGGGCTTAATGAATCCTCTCAGGTGAACTCTGGTAACCACCACTGAGGTCAAGAAGTAGAGCTTCGCCCTTCTCCTCCGCCCTGTTCCCAACCACGGGTTTCCCTCCCAGGCAGGTTTCCCCCGTCTGCTGGGAACCTCACCTGCCGTGCACAGTGCTGCCTCCCCAAGCCAGCTGGCCCCTCGGGGCTCCTGTCACCTGGGCTGTGCTGACTCCACTCTGTGGTTGCAGCTCAGCAGGTCTCTGTGTTTCCTGCAGAACGGCAGCTGGGTACAGAGACGGGGCTCGCTCAGTCCCCTCCCTTTTCCCTTTGTAAGACTCTCGGGGCATGCAGTGACCTATTGTCCCTCTTTCCTGATGTCAGCCGCTGTTATTCATTGGAAGTTTCAAAATGGTCTAATTCGATTATTTATTGTTCATGTATTGGTTGGAAAGGTTTTATAAAGAGGCAGGTCAGCTACCATTTTAATACCCAGTACTACCTCTCATGCCTAGAGTGCCATGGCGTCATGCACGGTTTCTTACAAGAAGTTAGCTGTAATTTTTATCTTTGTTCCTTTATGTATGATGTGTCTTTTTTTCCTCTGGCTGCCTCCAAGATTTTCTGTTTATCTTTGGCTTTCGCTGGTTTACAATGATGTGCCTAAGTGTAATAGCTTTGTTGTTTTGTTTTGCTTTCTCTATGTTTATCCCATGTACGTTTTGTCTGAGCTTCTTGGGTCTTTGGTTTGATATCTACTGATTCTTAGGAAATTCTTGGGCACTAGTGCTTTTCTTCTTCAGCCTTGTTCTTTTCTTTCTTCCTTTTCTGGCATTCAGATTAGACTGTTTGATGTTGTTCCATAGCTCTTTGATGCTCTGCTCTTTTTTTCTCTTTTCATTTTAGGTATAGATTATTTATATTGGCCTTTTTTCCAAATCCACTACTTCTTTCTTCTTCCTTGTTGGATATGCTTAAGAGCTAATCAAAAGCATTTGTCTCTGTCACTGTGTTTTTTGATTTCTAGCATTTACATTGACTTTCTTAAAATTCCCAATCTGTAATACATTTCAGTCATCTCTGCATCTGCTTCTGTTGATTGTTTTTTCTCTTAACAGTGGGTCCAGATTCCTCTAGAGCAAGGCTTCTCCACCTCAGTACCATTGATACTTTGGACCAAATCTTTAGGGGAACGGGGCTGTCCTGCTCATTGTTGAATATTTAGCCTTTCTGGTCTCTACCCATTAGGTGTTACATTGCCTATTTGTAACAACCATAAATGTCTCCAGATATTGTCAAATGCCCCCGGGGAGGTTGAGGGGGCAAAATTGCCCCTAGTCAAGAATCACTGCTCTGTTGTCACCTGGTGCTTAGATCAGTGCAGTGGGTGGTGACTGCCGTGGTGACTTGGGTCCTCAGCGCTCCTGCCTTGCCGTGGCTTTTGGCCTTTCCTGTGTGCCTCTGCTTCAGTGAAGGCAGGAGGGTCCTCTCTCTGTGTTCTTGTCCCCCATGGCAGGTCACTGCTGCCTGCTGCTCAGTGCTGGGCCAGCCTGGCCGTACGGCCACCTGTCGTCCCAGAGCCTGTCCTCGGCAGGCCCCGAGCACCTGAGTCTGTCCTTCCTGCCCGCGTCTGGGATGGGTCTCCCCAGCACCCCACCCCCCACCCCCCGGGCGTAGGAGGCCTCAGTGATCTCCTTGCAGGGTCCTGGGCCGGGAACTATTTGCTGCCCCCCACTGGGAGCAGAGGAGCTTTGACTGTAGCCCTTCCCTCAGTCACAGTAGGTTTTCATCCATGCCCTGGCCTTACTTCCTCCTCCTGGCTGCTTTGTGCAGTGAGGGAGAAGGATCCACGTGGGTTCTAAAAAGCCTTCTCTGGGTCTGAACCTGCCCCACGACTGTGAGTACACAGGGGGGAGTGAGAGGGGCTGGCAAGGGTGCCAGCTACCTGGGGCTGTGGCTCCCGCAGCTTGTGGCTTCTGTGGCGGCACTCACAGCTGAGCCCGAGCCCGGTGGTCTGCTGTGATCACATTTCCCCCCACCCCCTCCCCTGTTGCCCAGGCTGGGGTGCAGTGACATTATCACAGCTCACTGGTCCTCCTGCCTCGCCGCCCACAGTGCTGGGGTTACAGGTGTGAGCCACCACGCCCAGCCTATGTTATCTTTTTTCCCAGCCCTAACCGGATTCCATTGTCATTCATTGGAAGGACTCTTCCCAAAACATGCACTTCCTTGTGTCTTCCTGACCTTCTGCCTGGAATCCTCAGTCCCCAGCTCTGTTGTCTCCATCTCACAGCGCAGAAAGAATCGCACACCTTTGTCGTCTTCGCAGTTACACAAACGATGCTTGCTCATTGTGAAACATTCAGGCACTACAGATCTGCATGAATAAGAAAGTATCAATCAACTCTTATTCCAAAACTGAGGAAATCAGTCTTCATATTTTTTATGTCCCTCCAGACCTTTCTATGTCTATGCTACATTGAATTTTTTAAAAATGTAACTTGTTTTTTCCTTTAAATATTGAAAACATTTTTCAAAATCAATAACTATGGATGCTTTATGTCCACAGGTCTTGACCAGGGGTCCACAGCAGAAACGGTGGGTGGGGTGGGAGGTCAGGGTATACATGCCCTATTCTGCACCTTTCCAATTTTTGTTCCATAGATACAGGGTGATGCCCAGACTGTCTTAAAAAAAAAAAAAAAACAGGCCAGACGCAGTGGCTCACGCCTGTAATCCTAGCACTCTGGGAGGATTGCTCGAGGTCAGGAGTTCGAAACCAGCCTGAGCAAGACCGAGACCCCATCTTTACTATAAATAGAAAGAAAATAATTGGCCAACTAATATATATAGAAAAAAATTAGCCAGGCGTGGTGGCGCATGCCTGTAGTCCCAGTTACTCGGGAGGCTGAGGCAGCAGGATTGCTTGAACCCAGGAGTTTGAGGTTGCTGTGAGCTAGGCTGACGCCACGGCACTCACTCTAGCCTGGGCAACAAAGCAAGACTCTGTCTCAAAAAAAAAAAAACCAGCACTCCTGGATGATTCTAATACAGTCTCCTTTGGGCATCAGTGAAGCCCTCGTTGCTTTCACAAGTAGATCAATAATGCCACCCAGGCATGTTCTGTGGATTGACGTGTTGATTGTTTCTGTTCTGTTGTTGCAAATGCTGCTTCTTTCTAGACACGTTTGCACTTACTCAGGTAGTCTTAAAAGAAGAAAATGCATCAGTAAGCTTTTGCACTAATTTCTCCAAATTGCTTGCAGTGAAGCTTGCCAGAGCTCAGTGTTGCTGTGTCCAATCCTGCAGACCTCAGGGACCAGCCCACTCTTTCGGGCCACCCGCTGAAAGATGACATTGGATTAGGCAGAATGGAAGAACCGTCATAGGCTTTTTACACTGCATGTCTTTCATTACCAGGAAGTTCAAACATTTCATCAGGTGTTTTGGGCAGACATATGTAGTTCTTTTGTGAATTAACAATAAAAATAAGCAGAGGCTTATTTTTCTGTTGGGCTATTTTTTGCTTCCTATTGGCTGTCAGAGAGTTTTATGTAGCAAACCAGTACCCTTTGTCTGGCACGTTGCAGACACAGCAGCGTCTGGGGTGTCTCCCCCAGAGCGGCCTCTGTGTGCCCCTGGAGGAGCATCCTCAAACTCTGGTCTTCTGGGAACCCTCCAGTGGCTGCATCCCTCAGGCAGCCCCAGGAGACTCTGTTGTCTGTTTCTCGCCCTATGTGGGGTGCTCTGGCTGCTCTGGAATATTGGGGGGGGAGGTCCACGGATTGGCTACCCTGTTCCCTGCTGCTGGCCTGGCCTGGCTGTTCTGCCTGGTGCATCTCCATTTTTCTTCCGTACCCAGGCCAAACCCCCTCTTACCCTGACACTCCCCTTAAGTTCTGCCTGAGATAACCAGCTGGTTCTCTGGTCTGGTGTGTGTGTGTGCCAGTTGCCACTGGTCGTGTGACACCCGTCTTCTGCAGGCTGTGCAGAAGGCAGCGGCATCCTCCGGGGTTCTTAACCCGCCCCCAGCACTGGCAGAAGGCGTGTGCTCAGGAACTCCAGCCAGCCTCGCAAGGCTCCCTGCTCCCTCGGTCAGCCCCCACTTGCTGATCACCCCTGTGTGTCGGGCACCTCCTGGGCCTGGAGGGTGGGAGAGCCGTCCCCTTGTGGCTCCCACCGACCCTGGTCTCATCTGGTTGCAGCTGGGCCGGTGTACCAACAGCGTGGTCAAGTATGAGATGATGCGCCCGTCCAACAAGGCACCCCTCCTGGTGCTGTGTGAAGACCACCGGGGCCGCATGGTGAAGCACCAGTGCTGTCCCGGCTGCGGCTACTTCTGCACAGCGGTAAGAGCCCAGCCCTCCTGGGACCTCCTGTGTCCCCTACAGTACGTGCCACCTGGTTGTCAGCACTCGCTCCCACCCTGCGTCCGCCTGCTGCAGGGCCGGCCACCACCCTGAGGTCTTCAGCACCTCACAAACCCCTCACCGCAGCTCTCAAGGTGTCTTGCCCAAGAACTACGTCCCTCCCCATTTCCCTACTCCTGCCAGGGAGCCTTCAGCCTTCCGCAGATGGTGGGACCCTGGCCTGGGCCCTCTCAGCTTCCGCCTCCTCAAGCGGTTGTGGACTCCCTGTCAGAGTAGCGAGCGTCCCTCTCCAGAGCGCAGGCGCTGGCCCCCTTCTAGGGCCTGGTGTCACCAGTTAGTCCTCCATCAAACATCTGTGCTCACCAGTGCCCGGGGCCCCTGAAACGGGCCTCTTCCCCACGAGCACACCTGTGAGCATCTGCGTGTCTGTGTGTGCCCAGGCGGGTGAGCGAGCCAGTGGGTGTGCCTCCGCCGCGTGCACCTGTGGGTGCTGTGGTTACATTTTCCGGCAGCGTCAGATGCCACAGACGCCCTGCAGCGCCTCTGGGGACCTGGGCCAGGAGCGACCATTCTGTGGGGGTTTCTCTTTGGATTTCACACCTTTTGTTCCCTCCCCTGTCTTCAAACATCCTTTTGAGAAGCTGCTTTTCTAGCTTTCTGCAAGAACATGCTGTTCTTACTGCCGTGGGTCCCTCCCGGTGGTTCCCTACAGCCTGTTGTGCCAGACGACGTCCTCCTTGGTGTTCTGTGGCTCATGTCTGTCCCTTCGTCAGCCTGCAGAACACAGGCCTGTTCCAGACCCTTCTTTGGACTTTTCTTTTCGTGCAGCCTCTAGCTCAGGTAGAGCAAGGCCGTGGCCTTTCTGGGTCCCAGGGGTGGGATGGGGGCAGTCAGGTGACTTCTGCCAGGTTTAGCTTTCGTTTTTCTTTTTGTTTTTTGTCATGTCAGACGGATGATGTGCTGACACCATAGCAAGGTTTGAAGGAGGCACACCCCACACATGCACACGAACACCTGACCATCCTGCTGATGAACCACGGAAGGATCAGGCGCGGCTTTCTCTCGGCAGGAGACTAGGGGTACTCTGTGGTGCTCTGTTCTTCCTGCTCACCCGCTGGAGACGGGGAGCCAGCACTGGACTCCCCCAGCCTGGCTGCCAGACTCACTCACTCAGCCAGGCCAGACGTGAGAGGCTGCACCAGCTTAATCATGCTTTGTTTGTTTTTCTGAATATTAACTCTAATTTTTATTTTTATTTATTTATTTATTTATTTTTGAGACAATCTCACTCTGTCGCCCAGGCTAGAGTGTGTCAGTTTCTCCCAACTACATGTCCCCACTGTGGCCTCTACAGCCTGCTATCACAGTACCTAGAACCTTTTATCACACTTGATTATTTGCACATCCATCTTCTTATCTAGACTGAGATTTTTTTCTTTTTGAGACAGAGGCTCACTTTGTTGCCCAGGCTAGAGTGAGTGCCGTGGTGTCAGCCTAGCTCACAGCAACCTCAGACTCCTGGGCTCAAGCAATCCTGCCTCAGCCTCCCGAGTAGCTGGGACTACAGGCATGCACCACCATGCCCAGCTAATTTTTTCTACTTTTGGTAGAGACAGGGTCTCACTCTTGCTCAGGCTGATCTGGAACTCCTGAGCTCAAACGATCCGCCCACCTGGGCCTCCCAGAGTGCTAGGATTACAGGCATGAGCCACCGCGCCTGGCCAGCCCCAGTTTTTAAAAAGTGATTTTCCCTCTTCTCATCTTTAGGGTAATTTCATGGAGTGTCAACCTGAGAGCAGCATCTCTCACCGTTTCCACAAAGACTGTGCCTCTCGAGTCAACGATGCCAGCTACTGCCCCCACTGTGGGGAGGAGACCTCCAAGGCCAGAGAGGTGACCATAGCGAAGGCGGACACGACCTCCACAGTGACGCCGGTGCCCGGGCAGGACAAAGGCTCGGCCCTGGAGGGCAGGGCTGACACCACCACGGGCAGGTGCTTGACAGGGCGTGGCCAGGCTCTCCAGGTGCTTTACCTGGAGATGGTGCCACCATTGGTCATTACTGATTTGTGCTGTTTCATCCCATAGTCTTTAGCTGACTCTGATGCTCACTGTGAGTGCTAGCATCTCAGAGCCTCACTTCTTGCCTCTGTACGTAGATCTGTTTCAATTGGGATTTATGGGTGCACTTGCCTGTCTCTGGGCCAGTTTTCCCACGACCCTCACTGGTGCAGCTTCACAGTGTTCTGTTGCTGGCATGGTCCTCTGCAGGTGGCTGTCTGTTTGCACCTGAAACAGTGTCAGCTGCTGCAGTCTTCCACTGCAGTGCTTGGCAGTAAGGTTCCAAGGCCCTAGCTGAAGACAAAAAACAATCTAAAAGAATTAGAAGTGTTCATGTTAGATATATATAATTGTCTTCCTAAAAGAATCCAGTAGAAATAGCTGAAAAATTTTTAGAGCTATAAGGGGTCAGTAAGAGGATCAGGTAAGACAGAGACAGCAGAAGGCAGGTGCCTTGTTCCCTCCCAGCGATACTCTTCCAGAAACTAAGATGAGAGATGCCCTTTCAGAACAGCAGCAAAACCCATAAGCTACCCAGCAGAAAAAGAGGAGAAAGAACTTAAATATCACATAAAAACTAAAACTTCATTGATGGTCATTTCAAAGAGACTCAGATTGTGGACATACCAAAACTAACAGTTGGAAAGGTATCTATTCCTTCTTATTAATCTGTAAATTTAAGTAAAAATTGCTGTGGGATTTCCTTTTGTGGGGAGGGCAGTGGACTTGATAGATTGAACGTGAAGCTTAATCTTGAGAGAAGGTTTGAACATGGGGCCTGGAAGTCCTGGAAAAGTTGCTCTCGGTTTTGAGTATCATATTTGAAATGGAAATTTGATTCTGAACCCTAGACAGTTTCGTCCAGGGACTAAGCAGATAGCAAGCAAATTGGCAGTTGTTTTCTTTCAGAAAAGCAGCATACTTAGATTGGATAAGTCATGTTTTATGCTTTCATTGGTTTCCACCAGAAGGTGGTTTTCTGAACGCCAGACTCAGCCTCACCGATTTCCTCCCTGCAGCGCGGCTGGGCCACTGCTGGACGACAAGCCGCACAGCGCAGGCCCCCCGGCGCCTGAGGGCTTTGATCCGTCGGGACCCGCTGGGCTCATCCGGCCGACTCCGGGACTTTCCCAGGGACCAGGGAAGGAGACCTTGGAAAGTGCTCTGATTGCCTTGGACTCGGAAAAGTAAGAACCGATCCGTGATTTTAGAGACGTTTCAGGGCCTATTTTAATCGGTACCGTGTGTTCTGCTCCGTGGCATCACTGCAGCACTTTCTAGCTTTTTGATTAAAGTTGTTCATCAGAACAATTTGTGTATCTTTACCCTATTTGGGGAAGTTTTGCAAGTTACTGTCCTCTTCATTGTGCTAAGAGCCAAAGTCCTAGGTGAGCTCTTAGGACATTTCCCCGGACACTCCTGCGCCTGCCTCAGATGGCCGTTTCCCGGGTCCCTCTCTCATCTGTGCAGTGCAGGGGTCAGACCAGGTGCCCCTTGGCTCACCTGACAGCTCCCAGACATCACACCCTCCTTCTGGCCCGAAATGGGTGGCAGACAAACACTATACCAAGTCTCCTGGGAGGTGAAGCATCGCACTTAACCTTTGGCCTAATAGAGGAATGCTGGTTGTGGCAGATTCCTCTTGCTGTGCCTCTCTGTCCCTGGACAGCTCCTCCCTGGGGCCCCCTCTCCATCTGTCTGTTCCCATCCACAGCCCCTGCTCCCTGCAGGCCCCAGGCTGCTCCCGGCTCCTGCCTTCTTCCCCATCCCCCAGTTACCAACTTAGCTGTCGAGTCAAGGCTTCAAAGCGAACACGCCTGTGTTCCCGGCTCCCGCTGCCCAGGCATCTTCTATACCTGCCGAAGGGGCCCCATGGGACGGCATCGTCACCCCCACGTGAGCAGGCCACCTGCAGTGCCTCCCTTGACCTCACTCACCAAGCGGTGCCTGTACGCTGTGCATGGTCTGACGGTGTGCAGCTCTCACGCTGTGACCAGGGACGGCTGTGCACTGTGGTGGCGGTCTCACTTTCACTGGAAATACTCCAGGACTGGCGGGTCTGGGGCACTTGGCCTTGAGGGACTGGTGGGTGGAGGCACCTGGCCCTTCAGCCTCCAGCTCCTCGCATTGCCTCGTGAGCCCTGCTGACGGCTGCACTGTGCTTTCCACAGGCCCAAGAAGCTTCGCTTCCACCCAAAGCAGCTGTACTTCTCGGCCCGGCAGGGGGAGCTGCAGAAGGTGCTGCTCATGCTGGGTGAGTGCCGGGTGGGGCTCGGGGCGTGTGGGAGAGTGGAGGGGCAGAGGGTATGGTCACCCCTTGTCCCAGGAGGCCAGTCTCGCTCTGTTTTCCTGTTTATGTGGTTCTGCGCCCTCTGATTGGTGCAAGTGGGCTGCCGTGGGGTCCAGCCTTTTCATGGTCCGTACAATGTCAGTGTTCAGTCACTCAGGGTACTAGAAACACTCTTCTTTGAATTTCTCATTTTTAAAAGGGAATTAAATATGTAATTATTAAATCACGCATAAATGTAGATGTGAAAAACAGAACCGGTGGGTTGGGCCCCTTCTGATGTGCAGCGCTGATGGGACGCAGACGTGCAGATATGCTGGCCACAGCGGCAGCACTGCGGGCAAAGCATGGCTCCGTGACGTTTAGATCTGCAGCACTTCGTTGCGTTTGCATTGTGATAGATAAACCCACGGATTTGCATTTCTGATACCTGAAAACGTGCTTGTTAGAGCCTTCCCCATGGTCATTGTATCTCTGAGCTCATAGCTCTAGGTTTGATTTCTCTGAAATTCACCTTCTCTGGGCTGAACGGGTGATTAAGAAGCCCTTTACCTGACAGTAAGTCATGAAAGAAGCCGCACAGTTTGGTCTAAAAAGAGAGTTTATTTATGTTGACCAACATGGCAGCTTTCATTGTTTTCATCACTCCCATGATGCTAAAGTCACCTCGCTGTGCGGCTGGTCTCTTGGCTCTTGTCCGTTCAGGTCTCCTGGGAGTGGACGTGTGTCCAAGTCATCTGTGTCCGGGCCTCGCTCTGCCCCAGAAGTTTCTGCCTCCATGGCCTCCTCACGGGGCCTGGCGGCCGTGGCAAGAGCGCCAGGCACACACAGAAGAGCCTGCACTGTTGGGTTCGTTCTGACGGCCGGGCCTGCCTGTCACTCCCTGCAGACCTCCCGGGGCCCAGCCAGACAGAGGAGAGGGCGCGTGCTTGGCTTTGCCAGCCTTTCTGATGTCCTCAGGAGGGATCGTGGGCTGCATCTGAATGCCTAGTAAAACCGTGTTTGTTCACAGTTGATGGGATCGACCCCAACTTCAAAATGGAGCACCAGAGCAAGCGCTCACCCCTGCACGCCGCGGCGGAAGCCGGCCACGTGGACATCTGCCACATGCTGGTGCAGGTTCGTCCCAGCCCCTCCCAGGGCTCTTCGCCTGCTCTTCTGTTTCTATCAAAACAAAGACGTGCCAGATACACAGTTCTTACAGCTGAAAACTCACAGGTGCCGCGAGGCGGAAACAGAGACAGCGTTCCTGTCCCTCCCGTCTTGCAGCTGCAGCAGGCTTCCCACCATTCCTTCTGGCATTTGCCGCCACGCTTGAAAATAACAAGTATCATGTGCTTTGCGTGCTCAGTGTGCGGCTGGGCTGACCCTCCTGCAGACATCCTCCTGCACGGCACTGCGTGGGCCTCGATCTGCACTTTGTTTGTGTTTTTATTTTCTTAAGATTAGCTTCTGTAGAATTTAGCTTTACTTTGCGTAGCTTTACTTTGCCCTCAGACCTGGCAACCTGACGCTGGCTCTGGACTTCCTGTGTTTGAAGCCGGTCTGTGTCCCTCCCCCCACAGCCACACTCCCTGCCGTGTCTTTGATCTCTGACCCCTTCCCTGTGGACCTGCGGTTCTGTCCTGTGGAGCACAACTCGCTTTCCTTGCAGAGCCCTGAGAATCTGTTTTCTTTTTTTTTTTCTCTCTTTTTCTAAGAGACAAAGTTTCACTCTGTTGCCCAGGCTAAAGTGTGATGGCGGCGTCATAGCTCACTGCAGCCCCGAATTCCTGGGCCTCCCAATAGCTGAGACTGCAGGTGTACCACCACGCCTAGCTCATTTTTCTGTTTTTAGTAGAGACAGGCTCTCACTGTGTTGCTCAGGCTGGCCTCAAACTCCTGGCCTCAAGTGATCCTCCTGCCTTGGCCTCCCAGAGTGCTGGGATTACAGGCATGAGCCACAGTGCCCAGCCCCTGAGAATCTTAACCCACTTCTTAGCCTTTATGAATTATACCTGGTTTCCCACATATATGTACACATACCACTTTAGGCCTCTTTAAAAATTTCTTACTTAATTATGCTACTTTTGCTTTTTAATTGCTAGTAGTAAAATCAATACTATTTTCAACCTTTCTTCATAGCATTTATTTTATATGCTGTTAGCTCTTAGTATATTAGTCTAAGAAGTCAGACAGTTTTTCCCCTGTGGAGAAGAGGTTTCAACTGCCAAACAGCTGATTTCCTTTTAACACACAACCAATTTTAAAGTTGGGGGCTTCTTAAGTTTCACAAAAACAAAAATTTACCTATGTATGCCTGCTAGTCTTTCAAGTTTCTCACTTTATTGGGAAAATTGGAATTGCTCCAAAGTACACGCTACTAGAAATTAGTTTGGGTTCCCCTCATTTCACAAGCTCTGAGACAGCGAGACACGGTGGCAGTGGAGCCCGAGGGCTGGGTCTGCGGGCCCCTTGCCGAAGCCCCCGTCCCCTCCACTCTGCCTGCTGTGGAAGGTAATTGTTGTCCCCCTCTCTCCTGAAGGTGTTGTCACACTGCTGCGCTGTGAACATTTCCTATCAGATTAATCCAAAAGTGAAATGAAATCTAGCAAAAATACTCTGCTTTGGACTAAAAGCTTGATCATAACAGAGTAATTAAGTTTTTGAATACTTTTTTAGAAGACTCAGACATAGTTGATCAGTCAAACGATTTTAACGTAGCTATCTTTCAAAGGTGGAAGCATGTGACTCATGTCCTCACCAGGTGGGGAGGAGCCCTCCCACACACTGAACTGTCGTTTTGTCAGGCGGGCGCTAATATCGACACCTGCTCGGAGGACCAGAGGACCCCGTTGATGGAGGCAGCAGAGAACAACCACCTGGACGCAGTGAAGTACCTCATCAAGGCTGGGGCGCAGGTGGACCCTAAGGTAGGTGCCTGTCAGAGTCAGTCCTGTGTGCATACGTTTCTCAGAGGTGTGAGCAGGGGCTGCTCCCTACAGCAGCAACTTCAGGAGTTGTCAGCCTCCATATGCTCACCCAGTTGTCCAGAAGTAGTTTCTTCACCTGACTTGGTTACCTGGTCTATTAGTGAAACCGTGAGTGAGCTCTAGATCCGCAGTGCCTGGCGGTGGACAGATCGGCCAAGAAGGGGTTTGCGGTGCGGAAGCCTATGGCTCCCTTCCTTGGTACACTCTCCTCTGTCTTCCACCCAGGGCAACTAGCAAGAAGAAGAAATAAAAGGCAGTCAAATTGGAAAGGAAGAAGTAAAATTGTTCACGGATGACGTGATCTTTACGTACAAAACCCTAAAGAAACCACAGAAATATTGTTAGCTAATAAACTAGTTCAGCAAAGTAGCAGGATACAAAACATAAAAATCAGTTTTATTTCTGTGTACCTGCAATGAAGTATTCATTAAAAGACTTAATACAGTTAAAATGATATTAATAATACTACCCAAAGCAATCTACAGTTTCCATGAAATTACTGTTAAAATCCCAACACAGTATTTTTTATAAATGTAGAAAAATTCATCCTGAATTTCTTTATCTTTCTTTTTTTCTTTCTTTCTTTCTGTCTTTCTTTTTTTTTTGAGATAGGGTCTAACTCTGTTGCCCAGGCTGGAGTGTAGTGGTGCCATCAAAGCTCACTGCAGCCTCAAACTCCTGGGCCCAGACAATCCTCCTGCCTCAGCCTCCGGAATAGCTGGGACTACAGGCATGCACCAACCATGCCCCAGCTACTTTTTCTATTTTTTGTAGAGATGGGGTCTCGCTATTGTCCAGGCTTGTTTTGAACTCCTGGCCTCCAGTGATCCTCCTGCCTCGGCCTCCCACAGTGCTGGGATTACAGGTGTGAGCCACCGTGGCCAGTCCTAAAATTCTTATAGAATCTCAAGGGACCTGGGCCAAAATTTTTGAAAAGAACAAAGTTGGAGAACCATACTTCCTTATTTCACCAGCTTACTATATAAAGCTGTAGTAATGAAAACTGTATGGTACTGACATAAAGACAAATACAGACCAATGGAATAAAATAAAAAGCTCAGATCTAAACCCTTGCATATATGGTCAGTTGATTTTCGGCAAGGTGAAAAAACCCTTTGATGTGAAAAAGACAGTCATTTCAATAAATGGTGCTGGGAAAACTAGGTGGCCACATGCAAAATAAAGAGGTTGGACCCTTACCTAACACCATATTCAAATATTCATGGAAAATAGATCAAAGACCTGTACTTAAGAGCTAAAACTATGAAACTTTTAGAAGGGGGGAAGGCTTTCATGACATTGGACTTGGCAATGATTTCTTGGATATGACACCACAAGCACAATCAAAAAAAAAATAAACTTTATCAAAATTAAAAACTTGCTCATCAAAGGATACTATCAAGAGAGTGAAAAGACAAGGCAAAATGTATTTGCAAATCCTGTATCTGATCAGGGTTTGTGATCCAGAATACATTTTTACAGCTTAGCAACAAAGAAACCAAACAATCCAGTAAAATAATGGGCAAAGGATTTGAACAGACACTTCTGCAGAGAAGACAAGTGGCCACGCCACAGTGGCACGTGGACAGGCGTGCTTGGGTCTACGAGTATGAGGCGACCGCAGATAACAGCCACGTGAGACGCCACCTCACGCCCGTGCAGACAGCCACAGTCTGGAACTGCACAGGGAGTGTTGGTGAGGTGTGGAGGAGTTGGTGCCCTCACGCCGCGCTGGTGGGAGTGTGAGCTACCTCGATGGCGGAAAACAGACTAGCACAGGATCGACATGTGACCCGCAATACCGTCCTAGGCAGAGGCCCAGAGGAACGAGGGCAGGGACAGGCGCAGGTCTTGGCGTGACCCCGGTCACTGCATCACTGCTCATGGTAGCCGGAAACTGCCCACCACAGGGGTGGGAAACGTGTGGTCTCTCTGTGCAGTGGGATCACTCTTAGCCACAAAAAGCTGTGGTCTTCTGACACGCGCCCAGCACGGGTGGGTCTTGACGTCACGCTGAGCGAGCGAACCCAGACACAGCAGGACAAGCGCTGTTTGGTTCCAATTACACGGGGTGCCCGGAGCCGTCAAATTCCTGGGGACAGAGAGTTGGTTGGAGGTGCCAGGGCTGAGGGCAGAGGCTGTGTTACTGCTTTGTGGTCACAGAGTTACTGTTGGGGATGGTAAACAAGTTTTGGAAATAGTGGGATGGTTGCACATTGTTAATGTAATTAGTGCCACTGAATTGCACACTTAAAAATGGTTAAAATGGAAAGTTTTATGTCATATATTTCCACAATAAAAAAATGTGAAAACAATTCTTATAGTCATTCGATCAGTACACACTTTTTTAAACATAAGGGCTCATACCCTCCATACTGATCTGTCAGCTCCTTTTCACATCAAATCAAATTTTCTCTGTTTTCATGTTGTTAAATATTCTGTAACATCACTTCAAATGGGTCATTGATATTTCATGATATAATTGTATTGGTTTTAGTCAGTTTTGCGTATTGATTAATATTTATCTCATTTTCAATGTCTTTTATAAACAGTTCTTCAATGAACGTTTTCATAGCTAAATATTTGCACATATTTGACTTCTTTAGGGCAGATTTCTGGGTGTGGAATTGCTGGATCAAAACATATAAACATCTCCAAGACTTTTTCTGCCTCTTTCTAAACTGCTCCAGGTGTGCCTGAGCACCTGTCTCCCACCCGACCAGACTGCTCCAGGTGTGCCTGAGCACCTGTCTCCCACCCGACCACACTGCTCCAGGTGTGCCTGAGCACCTGTCTCCCACCTGACCAGACTGCTCCAGCACCTGCCACCTGACCGGTGCCATCACAGGTTCATGATAACAGCTGGATTTGCACAGTGTTGGGTGGTGGTCTTTACTATTTGCTCTTTTAAAGTCAACATTTTTTTGTATGTTGTATATAGTTATTCACCTATGTTACAAATATATTTTTTCAAGTTGATGTTTAGTCCTTTATCTTGGTTTTCATGGCTCTTGAGATGTGGCAGCCTTAATTTTTCTATGAATAGCTGTAGATAACTACTGGTGATCCTTGGCATCATGCTAGGGGACAAGGCTCCATGCTTGCCCTGCTGTTTGCCTGGGGACAGTTCCAGACCTCGCCTCAGGGAGCTGTTGTCTGAGCAGAGCTCCACCAAGCTGAAGAAACTAGAGACTGGAGGAGTTCGGGGCTTTGCTAAAGCAGCTGAAACCTGGGGGACAGAGCTGGAGAGGAGCTGCAGGCCCAGCGGTACTGTTGGCGCAGATCTTTGACGTGGGAATTCGTGGCTGAGCTGAGCAGCACATGGGACGCTGCAGGCAACAGGTTAGGGTGGAAATGATGACTGGTCCATAGACCTCGACTGATCTGCAGAACAGACTGTAGTACAGCACCAAACTGTCCACCGTGTACACTTAGAGTCCCAGAAAGACAGGAGAGAGAGAACCCAGTAGAAAAAGTGTATTGAAGAAATAATGGTCATAAATTTTCCAAATTTGGAAAAAACAGCAACTTACAGGTCCAAGAAACTCAGCAAACCCCAAACAAGGTAAATAAATAAATAATTACACCTAAATACATCATGCTTAAACTGTTGAAAATCAGCCATAAAGAGAACATTTTTAAAAATAGCCAGAGAGGCTGGGCGTAGTGGCTCACTCCTGTAATCTCAGCACTCTGGGAGGCTAAGGTGGGTGAATTGTTTGAGCTCAGGAGTTCAAGACCAGCCTGAGCAAGATTGTGACCCTATCTCTACTAAAAAAAAAAAAATACCAGAAATTAACTGGACAACTAAAAATATATAGAGAAAAAATTAGCCAGGCATGGTGGTGCATGCCTGTAGTCCCAGCTACTCAGGAGGCTGAGGCAGGAGGATCCCTTGAGCCCAGCAGTTTGAGGTTGCAGTGAGCTAGGCTGACACCACAGCACTCTAGCCCAGGCAACAGAATGAGACTCTGTTTCAAATAATAATAAAAAAAATAGCCAGAGTAAAGCAGTACATTACATATGTAGGCAAATGACTTATAAAACGATACTGACCTCCCGTGTGAAACGGAGGCCACAGGATAGGGAAATGAGGACTTCATTGTGTTAAAAGAAAAACCTAAAAGGAAAAAGTGAACTGGGAGTCCTACATCCAGTAAAAATATTTTTCAAAAAATGAGGGTGACTGGGAGGCCGAGGCGGGCAGATTGCTCGAGGTCAGGAGTTCGAAACCAGCCTGAGCAAGAGTGAGATCCCGTCTCTACTATAAATAGAAAGAAATTAATTGGCCAACTAACATATATAGAAAAAATTAGCCGGGCATGGTGGCGCATGCCTGTGGTCCCAGCTACTCGGGAGGCTGAGGCAGCAGGATTGCTTGAGCCCAGGAGTTTGAGGTTGCTGTGAGCTAGACTGACACCACGGCACTCACTCTAGCCTGGGCAACAAAAAAAAAAAAAAAAAGAGGGTGAAATAAAACATATTCTGGTTAAAACAAAAGCTGGTAAGATTCGGTAGCAAATTTGCACTGAAAGGGACACTGAGGCTCCAGAAGGAAAAGGTAGGCCTGAAAATGAAGGAAAAACATGAAAAGTGGCCAGTATGAAGGTTTTCCCTATAAATTTTCTAGAGGACGAGAGACCATTTAAAACAAGGATAATATCACAAGGTAGCGTGTGCACAAAGGCAGCACCCACCACTTAGCATGTCGGTGGGTTCTCAAACTGCAACTTCCAGCGGAAGGGCGTCCCAGGAAACACGCTTGCTACGGGCTTACGGAATAGACGGGAGTTCAGAGCGTGAGGAAGTGTGCAGTGCTTTCAGAATGTGTCTAGCAGGTTTTCCCGTCCTCACTGGGTGACCCCCCCCAAAATAGTTTGTAAAATAAATAAAAAAAGAACGTGAGATACAGCTTTATGGAAAAATAAGCTAATAGAGAAAGTGAAACGAAAATAATGAAAAATAATCTATGCCATTGAAATGCTGGAAGGAGAATTAAAACAGGTAGAAACCAATTGCCGGCAACCAGTTTGAGCCCGGCCCTGCCAGCAGTCACACTGGGGTGCAGATTGCACCCCGCGGGGAGAGGCCGAGGTCTCGTCTGACTGGATGAAGAGCAGGAACCAGCCCTATCCTGCACGCACTGCGTTAGATGTGCAGACGCAGGCATGAGAGCAGGAAGCTGGACAGGCGTGCGCTGTGCAGACAGTGAGCGTGGGCATCCAAGGGGAATGACAACATTATAAAACTCTGAGGAAGCAGTGAGGAATGTCATCTTTGTGGTTTGGGTACAAGGAAGGATTTCTTAAACAAGACGCATAAACGTGCAAAAATGATTGATAAAGTTAAATGCATTAAAATTTTAGAATTTCTGTTGGACAAGAAGATGTAACGGTGTGCGTAGAGCAGTCGCAGCCTGGGACAGGCCTTACAGCACCCTGGCAGAGGCCCTGTCCGAAAACGATCGCAAATAAGAAAGAATGAAGAAAACTGGCCAAAGAACATAACCAGGCTGTTCACAGGAGACGAAACACAAGGGACCGATAAGCAAGGGGGATGGTTCTCAGCCTTTTGAAAACAAGCCTGAGACACCATTTCATAGTCATCGAATTACATAAAACATACATGTTGGAGATGCCCGGCGTGGACAGCAGCTGTAGGCCACTCTGACTGCTGCCGGTGGGGCTTGTGGACCCCCCCCCCACCCCCCGGGAGTGGTGGTCGCTGCTAGTCATGGTGAAGCCATGCATTGCCTGGTACGCAGCCACTCTCAGGAGATGCCCGTGTAACCCTGCACATGGAACCAGGGAAACATGCTGTGGTAGTCAGTGCACGCTCAGCAAAAAGTCAGAAACAGCTGACTGTTCTATATAAGGCGGATATAGTTTGATATCCTCTGAAATAAGGGAGCAGGTGCTACCTGTTGTCTGTAAGGATAAATCTCAAAAACATAACGGAACACTAAATAGGAATTGAGGAAGGGCGTGCAATATGGCGATATTGGACAGTTCATGGACAGTTGGTACAGGCAATTTAAAAACACGGAAGACCAGCGTGTGTGGGTACGGACACAGTACCTGAGTGTCAGGTGTGTCAGGATGATAAATGACATGTCCAGGACAGTGACCTTTCTCCTGGGAACAGGAGCCGCCGTGTGGGCTGTTCCGTGGGACAGGTGGGGTTGTGGGGCTGGTGTCAGGAGCTCCTATGTGGGTGCCTGGACTTTGGAACTAGCTGCCACCCCCTCCCACCACCCTCCTCAGGGCTCGTTCCCACAGGGGTCTCCACTCTGCCGCCCCCACCTCACCCTCCCCTCCCAAGGACCCCTGTGGCCTCTCCTCACCTTCCCCTCCCCCCTCTGGGGCCTGGCCACGCCCCCCGGGACACCCCCTCCCCAAGCGTGTGTTCACCTGGACGAGGCACAGCTTTGGGGCCTGCTGGGCGCCTGCCTCTGCCCTGAGCCTGCACACCCCCAGGGCATCTCAGCTGGGCTTCCCAGTGACCAAGGATGTTTGAAAGGAATGAGACTCAGACCAACAGCCGTGCGTTGCATGTGGTTAAACAATAAGCCAGCACCACTGTTAGGGGGATCACTGTGCAGGCTTTTCTGGAGAAAGGGATGTCCTGCGAACACCGTTTGATTGGAAATAAAGATGTGCGTTAAAATCTAGGATTGCCGCCCCGGCAGTAGGAAAGAGGGAGAGGAAGGTGGTAAACATGATCAGCACAAAGACAGGGTTGGAGAGAAAAGAAAGAGAACCCGGCGGGGAGAGGATGGTGTGGGCGTGTCTGAGGGGTCCTTGTGCTGCGCCCAGGCAGGACAGGCGCCCTCCGGCGGTGCCGCTTTGGTGGCCCTGGCTCCCTGGCCTCTTCCCGAGCTGCCTGGGTCCGGCCCTTCCCTTGTGGTTTTCTCCCCACTTTGAGATGGTTTGGGCGGTGCGATCCATTCAGTGTTCTTGAGAACACAGCTGGCAGCTCGAGAGAAGGCCTGCCCAGCAGCCGGAGGACACGGACACAGGCAGGCCGCTCACCCTGGTCTCCTGCGCCTCCCGCCACCAGTCACTGTGAGCCCTGTTGCACTCGGGCATCTCTTCCTGGGTCATCTGCACTATTTTAAACCTGCTGTGTGGCCCTGAGCCCACAGGGGCCCGGAAGGAGCGGCAGGTGGCTGGGTGGCCTTGGGAGACACCTGGGTCACCTGTCACTGCAGGGGTAGCGGCGGCACCTCGTGGCAGGGAGCAGAGTTCTGTCCTGCACGCTGAAGGCAGCATGCTTTCTTTGGCTCTAAATGGCATTCATGTTGCAGGATGCAGAAGGCTCCACGTGTTTGCACCTGGCGGCCAAGAAAGGCCACTATGACGTGGTTCAGTATCTGCTTTCGAACGGACAGATGGACGTCAACTGCCAGGTAAGGGTGCCCCCTCTCACAGCAGCCACCGTGGCCAGCTGGCCGGCCACTGTCCCCTTCCACATCCGCCGGCCCAGCTTCCTCCACCGCTCCCATTTGCACCCGGAGGGTTCGCTCATGAGGCCCCGGAAGGTCTCGTCCCTCCCCACTTGCCTGGTGTCTGCCTAGGCTGCCCTGGCCCCCACCAGGCCTGTGTCTAGACGGCACCACCTGTGCCCCTGCCAGCCCCCGCCCTCCCTCCAGGGCACCCAGCTCCTTTCCCTCCCTGCCTGTCCTCGCACTGGCCGCCGTCTCCCGTGTGTGTGTGTGTGTGTGTGTGTGTGTGTGTGTGTGTGTGTGTGTGTGTGTGTGGTCCGCCCGCTGTCAGCAGCACGTGGCGGGCTCTGGTGTGCTCACCTGCGCTGTGGTCTGTGGTACCCAATCAGCACCTGGCACAGGGTAGGTGCCTGGAGGTGTCTGTCGCTCGAGTGAGCCACGGCAAAGACCAAGGAAGGGCGGCGCCAGGCTGTCAGAGGGCACCAGGGTCCCCACTGCAAACTGTCGGGTCTGGGACGCGTCTCCTTTTCCGCACAAGCTCCTCCCCCTGGGGGGCTCTGTGTGTCCTTAGCCAGGCTTCGCCCGCCCAGTGTCACACCGGCTCCCGTGCCGTCGTGACCACGGGGATGCCCAGACAGACCCGGAGCAGCAGCTCCCTGTGCAGTGCTCCCTGGCGCACAGCCTCGCATCCACCCCGATAGTCATGGGTGGGGCCCTCCCTGCTCTCGAGTCTGCACACCCCCACTTGTGTTCTGCTCCTCTCCTGCCCACCTAGCCGGGTGGCTGTGAGTCCCTGGGGCTGGGCTCTGGGAGGCGGCGCTGTGTCGTCCTGCAGTGTCCCCAGGACCTGCCGGGAGATGGAACGTCGCCGTGGGCTGCTGTGTCTGCAGGGCCCCCGGGTGTGGGTGTGACAGCCGTCCTCTTAGAGGTGTTGGGGGCAGGCTGAGGTTTTGCCTCCAGACTGGGAACTGACAGCATGACACTCGGCTCCTACAAAGTCTCCTTTTCTGTGGCTTGAATGAAGTTCCCCAGGACCGGGGTGGGGGGCTTAGGCGCAGTTGGGGGAGGCCCTTCCAGAAGAGGTGGGAGTATTGGTCTCCACGCCTGGGTGTGCGCCCGTCTCAGCTGCTGCTCTGGGGCCAGCGCTGTTGTCCGGGACGGAAGGGGAGCTCTGGCAAGCAGGGTCCACTGACGGGGACTGACGGTGCTCTGCCTGCTTGCCTTGCAGAGTTTCCGTTCCCTCGCTCACGCTGCTAGAACACACGTGCTCAGGGTGCTGGTGCTACCCCAGAGGCACGCGACTGAGAGCGGGCGGGGTGGCTGCAGTCCCACTCCCCCGGGCAGCAGGTGCTGTGTTGTGTGGTCAGACCCGGTTCCGGTTCTGCCTCGTCCTGCACTCAGTGAACTACCTGGGGTAGCGCAGCAAGGCCTGGTCCCGAGTCCTGGGATGCCTCAGCACGAGCCCTCCTTGTCACCTGAGGTTGCTCATTTCTGCCCGTGCCAGGTTTCGTTTCCTTCTTTTGAAATTAGGATGATGGAGGCTGGACGCCCATGATCTGGGCCACTGAGTACAAGCACGTGGACCTCGTGAAGCTGCTGCTGTCCAAGGGCTCGGACATCAACATCCGGGACAACGTGAGTCTCCTCCTGCGTCTCGGGCCCCCAGCGAGCAGCGTCCGGCTGGAGGATGGGAGCACCGTTTAGGGGTGGCGTCCTCCTCCGGAAGGTTCCTTTTTCTCAAAAGCAGAACCCAAGCGCGTGGTGGCACCTCCGACCTCTCTGTGTCAGTGGCCACCAGCCCAGCAGGGTTTCCCGTGGCTGTTTCGTGCTGGGTTTAACAGAGGAGGGTGCAATGCCCGGGCAGACGCGGACCCTTGTAGTCAGGGACTGGCAGCCTCGTGTGCAGGCCGTGGCTACCACCGGCTCCCCCTATACGCGCTACCTTAGGAGGGAAAGAAGGAAAAGTGAAGGGTTGATCCTGTTGTGGTTTCCGTACTATCAGTTAAGGTGTGTGTTGGTGGTGAGGGTTGCAGGGTTTGGAGTCTGGGTGAGACCGGCCTGTCCTTCTGGGTGGCTCCTGTCAGCCCAGAAGGGCAGCAGCAGGTGGCTCTGATTACCCTGAAGGGGAGGAGTCACTGGCAGGTCTGCAGGGCCTGCAGGACCAGCGGGATTGCTGGAGGTTGAGTGTGGGTGTGGTGCAGCCTCTGGAAGGTGGGGTCTGGTGGGCTGTGCTGGCCGCAGCCCCCCGGTCAGCCGAAGAGCGCGTCCACCTTTGCCGAGAGTCTCCAGAAGCCTCCGGTGGAAAGTCCAACCACAAATAGACTCATTAAATTGATAAAAAGAAGGTTTGGCAGAAGAAAGATGACTTCTGAAAGAGCACCGTGAGGTGCCATGTGTTGGGGAGGCTGGTGGCCCTGCTGGGGACAGCCGGTCCCCAGCCTTGTGGCTCTGTGGTGGCCGCAGGCCTGAGCGTGGGGCCTCCGCGGCTGGCAGCAAGCGGTCCCTCATCCCACCAGTGTCTGTGCCGCAGGCACATGGATGGTGGCACCACGCGAGAGGAGCCGTGGGCACGTGCGGCAGCGGGGGGGGGGTTTGTACGAGGGGAGCAGAGCAGGAGGAAAAGTCTCGCGTTGTCACACAGGCCGTGGCTTCCTTGCCTACGCTGCCGCCTCGCTCGGGGACAGGGTCGGGGGAGGGCGGCTGAAGTCCCCGCCTGCTGCACTGCTGCCACCATGGCCATGGGCAGCGCAGAGCCCGGCCAGGGTCAGCGGGTCAGCTCTGGTGCTGAGGGCCATTCCGGTGATCTGGAGGCACTGATTAAATTCCAAGCTTGTGGTTTATGTGTCGAAACACTTTGTTATTTTAACCACTTTATCGGTGCATGGTGGGTAGACTGCACGTGTTCAGAGTGTGCAGCTGGGTGAGTCCAACACCAGAAACCGTCGCCACATCAAGATAGTGAATACCTCCCTCCTTCACTTCTAGAAGTTTCCTTCTGCCACTCCCGGCCCATGCCAGCTGTCCGTGCGTGGCCTTTTTCCACTGCAGATTAGGTGGCACGTTTTCGTTTCGTGGGAAAGGAACTGACACCTGGTGATGTTTTCAAACAGCTCATTCTGTGCCTCCTCCACGCCACCGTGTCAGCGTCCCTTCTTCTCGTGACCCGGAGCATTTCCGTGTGTGGACGGGTCACAGCTAATCCTGCACCTGCGGGCGGACGTCTGGAGGTTCCGAGTTTAGGGCTGTTACAAGTTGATCTGCTGTGAACGTTCTTGCATTCGTTTCTCTTGATTCAATGCCTAGGGGTAGAATCCCTGGGTCGCGGCGAGCGAGTGACTTACTGTAAGAAACTGTTCTGCTCCTACACATTCTCCCCAGCACTGCGTGTGGTCAGTCTTTTCGGTTTCAGCCACCTTAGCAGGTGTATCGTGATGTCATCGTGGCTTTGATTTTCCTTTCTGTAAGGACGAGTGATGTTGAGCATCTTTTTATAAGCTCATTTGGTATCCATACATCTTTGGTGAAGGGTCTGCTCAAATCTTTTGCTTGTTTTTTATTGGGTGGCTTATTTTATTCTTGAGTTTTGAGAATTTATTTTGTATTCTGAATACAAGTCCTTTATCAGACATATACTTGACAAATCTGTCTTTGGAAGAGCAGAAGTTATTTAATTTTGATAAAGTCCAGTTTATCAGTTTCGTTTAATAGATCCTACTTGTGGTATTCTTTTAAAGAAATCGTTGCCTGACATTTTCTCATAATCGTTTTGTGGTTTTAGGTGTTGCGTTTAGGTCTGAGATCTATGAGGAGTTAGTTTCTGTGTCTGGCGTGGGGCACAAGTGGATGTCCAGGTGTCCCAGCCCCGCCTGTTGAGGAGCACTCCTCGCTCCCCAGGGCTCACCTGGCACCTTTGTCCACATATGTGTGAGTCGTTCCGGGCTCTCCTCTGCCTTGCTGACCGTCTGTCTGGACACCAGCGCCGTTCTGTCCTGGCGGATGTGGCTTTGCAGTGGCTCACGAAGCCACGGAGCAGAAGAGCCTTCCGTGGCACCTTCCCCTTCTCTACCAAACTTCATGCTGATACTCTTACGCATCTGACCCACACATGCGATTCAAACACAATAACCATGTTTTTATTTTGTTTGGACAGTCGATAGTCTCTTAAAAAGGTGGTGTTGATAAAAAAGCCTCACTTGCCCCTGTGGTCCCCACGTGGACCTGCCTTCCCATCGACGCGCATTCCTCCGCTCAGCTCCCTTGCGCTGGCATTTCTGGAGCTCTTGGTCTGCTCCCGATGAATTCCTTCAGCTTCTTAATGTCTAGAAAGTCCTTGATTTGCTTTCATTTTTGAGAACATGGTTTTACCAGGTATAGAATTCTCAGTGGCTTTGTGTTTCTTTCAGTGCCTTAAGTGTGTTACTTCCCTGGGTTCTTACTCCCAGTAATGAGGAATCTGTTGTCATCCTTGTTTTTATTTCTCTGTATGCAGCTTGCCTTTTTCCTTACGGCTGTTTGTTTTCTAGAGACAGAGTCTCGCCCTGCTGCCCAGACTGGAATGCCCTGGAGCAGCCACAGCTCACTCAACCTCCAACTCCTGGGCTCAAACGATCCTCCTACCTCAGCCTCCCAACTGGCTGGGCCTACAGGCGCCACAACCATGCCTGGCTAATCTTTTTTATCTTTCGTAGAGGTGGGGTCTCACCTTGTTGCCCAGGCTGGTCTTGGACTCCTGGGCTCAAGTGATCCTCCTGCCTCGGCCTCCCACAGTGCTGGGATCACAGGTGTGAGTCACTGTGCCCAGTTATGGATATTTCAAAGATTTTTTCTTTGTCACTAGATTTTAGCAATTTTATCATCCATGTGTGTTGGTGTTATTTTACTTGTGCTTAGAGTTCATTGAGCTTCTTGGATCTGTCAATTTAGGGTTTTTGTCAAATTTGGAGATTTTCCGATTATTATTTCTTCCAGTGTGTTTTTTGCCTCCCACCCCTTTGCAGGCATTCTAGTTATGGATGTTCCAGACAGCTTGGAGCTGTTCCATAGCTCACTGATGCTCTTTTCAATTTTTAAAAATTATTTTTTTACCCTGTCATTCAGTTTAGCTGGTTTTTATTGGTGTAGCTTTCAATTCACTGAATTTTTTCTTCTGCAGTGCAACTTGTGACGTTAACCCCATCCAGTGTGTTTTCATTTCAGGCATTGTGGTTTTCAGCTCTGAAAGTTCCGTTGGAGTCTTTTAAATATTTTCTGACATGTCTTTCCTTCACCGTTGGACACGCGGAGCGTAGTCTCACCGGCCTCGTCTGCTGATCCAGCGTCCCCGTAGCTCTGGGCTTGCACGTACGGCTTTTTCTCCTCATCACGGGTCGTGTTTCCTGCTGCTTTGATTGCTGTTAGCCTTTGACTGGATGCCAGAAGGTGTGAATTTTACCTTGTAGGGTGCTGGGGATTTTTATCCTCTTGTCAGTATTCTTGAGCTTTGTTCCAAGAAGCAGTTAAGTTACTTGAAATCAGTCTGATGTTGGATTTTGCTTTTCAGATTTGTTAGGTGGGTCTGGTGCCACTTAGGCTGGTCCCTCCTGTGCCCTCCAGTGTTTCTTCCCTGGCTGGAGGAACGGCCCTGCTTTGGGGCGTGTCCTTGCAGGCCGTGGCCGCCACCGATGGCTGTCCCAGCAGGGATCCACTGGCCTCTTCCCAAGCTCCGGCCTCTGTCCTGAGCACCCAGGGCCTGGCCGGGTCCTGCCTGTGCCGTGGCGGAGTCGTGTCCGTCCCCATCCCTGTCCCCCCACCCCCCGCAGTGACCGGCATCTCAGACCCCCCCTGCCCCACCTCTTAGGGACCATGGTCTGCGTTAGGCACCTCTGCGGAAAGCAGAAGTCACCTCTGTTGTTTTCAAGGTAGGAGTGCTGGAAAGGTGTGAGCCAGTCCTGTCACAGCTGAGCAGCAGACTTCAGAAAGGCTGGGTGGCTGAACCACCCTCAGGGTGGGCAGCTGGAAGGTCTCAGAAATGTAATTCTGGCCTTGAAACCATAAATCATTCTGATAAAAGAAAAAGAATAAAATCCCCCAAGGAAACAGCACTTTGTTCAGGGAACTTCCGCATGCATGGAGGATGGAAACCAGAAACAAAGACCAGAGAGAGAAAAGCTACTAAGAATAACATCAGAGGAGAATGCCCCAGATAAGCTGAGGTTTTCCAGAAAATACTGAGGTTGACAAAAGGAGTTTGCTTTTAGTTTTCTCTTTTAGAAACAGGGGAAACAATTAAGCCTGTGCTTGGGGCTGGGAGCGGTTTGCTGCTGAGGGCAGTGGAGACAGGCCCTCGGCTTCGTTTTGCTTTTATCTTTTTAAATGTTCATTGAGCTGAAAAGCACTGATTTTACCTCACAGTGTGGAAATTGGTGGGGGGGGGACCATGTGAGAGCACCAGGTGCTCCTTCCCTGGAGAAGGCACCCTGAGGTCCGCAGAGCGTCCCTGGGGTGGCCACCGGGTGGGCTGAGGCCTGCCCCGGGGAGAGCAGGTTCTGGGCAGAAGCGCGCCAGCCGTCCAGGGCAGACCGGGGAGCGAGGGTCTGCAGGAAGAGGCTACAGGTGCGCGCCGGATCTGCGGGGGTGCCGAGCCTCCTGCAGCGCCTGGAACGGGTGACGGTCAGGCCCAGCTCTGCTGTGGTGTCTGTGACAATCACTGATGATTCCGGAAGGAAGGTGGCCCTGGGGAGCCTATCCACTCGGAGGCTGCCTGTGGAGGAGAGGCCACCCCAGGGCAGCGACACGCTCACATCCTGTAACCCCACGGGCCCTAGAGAAATTCTCACGTCAGAAATGGAAAAGCACGCACGTGCTCACTGGCACTCACGTCCAGTGAGACACAGTCGTGAAGTGTTCAGGGAAGGAAGGTGCTGGGCTGGGGGCTGTTTGGTCACCAGCAAGTGACGACCAAAGGTCCGTGGTGTGGCTGGCACCTGCCCCGGTGCGCCCTGCGCAGGCAGAGCCACGGGTGTGGGGGAGGCTGGGACAGGCAGGAGCGCGTTTGCCACTTCACTACGGCCACTGTGTCCCCAGTGTGGTGGGTCAACGAGACGTTGCCTCGCTGTCTTAGCTTCTGTTTCTTGGCTGTCTGGCAGGGCTGCACGCTTTCACGTATCCATGTTTACTCTTCTTCTTATGTGAGTTTTATTTTCATACCTTTGCACATTTATTTTTCAGAATTATAGTAATAAAATAAACTTACAGGGTAATTATAAGTCATATATATTTTACGTGTCACACAAATATTTTTCTGACTTTTCTTTGTTTTATTTAAAATTTTTTATTTTATACAGGGTTTTAAAGAAAAATGTTAGTCTAACATCCCTGTCTTTTTCACATGTTAACGTGAGCATTGCCCTGTCTTGTGACTATAACTCTGGGAATGAATAGGATTTTAACGTGGATAGAAGGATAGTGCCCCTAAGTGTTAACGTGTCGTGTTTCGGGGGTTATAACTCTGGGTGATTCTTTTTCTATTTTTAAAATACTCTGCACTGTGGTTATGTCACTTCTATAATGAAGAAATAAAACAGAAGGGAAGTGCCCTCCCGACTCAGACGGGCGCTTGGTGCTCCCCTCTGGTGGCCATGAAGCCCCTTCCGTTTGGCTAAACGCACCCGACGCTTCCCTCAGTGGGCGAGTGGGGCAGCCGCCTGCGCCCCGGTGTCCTGCGCCCGCCAGAGACCGCCATCCGGGCTCTCACTGTGTCTCTACGCAGGAGGAGAACATCTGCCTGCACTGGGCCGCGTTCTCCGGCTGCGTGGACATCGCCGAGATCCTGCTGGCAGCCAAGTGTGACCTCCACGCCGTGAACATCCACGGAGACTCGCCGCTGCACATCGCCGCTCGAGAGAACCGCTACGACTGTGTCGTGTGAGTGCGGCGCCGGCCTGCCCCTGAGTCGCCACGGCCCCTCTGCTGCCTTAGGGGTGGGACAGTGTCCTGGGCTCTCACAGCAGGGAGGTGCCCAGTCCACACTGGGATCCGCTGTGGTTTATTTCAGGTTTCAGGGGATTGTCACGAGAAATTGCCAAGTTCTTAGGTTGTACCTCAGGGCGAGCCTTAGATGTCCGGCCCTGTTGGGGGCTGCGAGAGGCGGGAGGGGTGGCACAGGGACAGTTCTGCTTGCTGGGGACTCGGCGCAGAGCCGGCAAGGTGCAGGCGGGGCCGGAGGTGCTGGTGGTGCCGCTCCCGCCCAGGGCCCCGTTTAAACTTTAGACCTTCCGCGTGAGCCATTGGCACTCAGCCTTGGTCGGCGTCCTGGGCTGGAGTGGGCTGGAGTCTCCACTCTGCCCCTGGGGAGGGCCGCTTCCCCAGGACAGGACCAAGCCCTGCCTCGCCATGCAACCTCGTGACCCCCCACTTCACCTGGAAACGGGTGTCGAGATGTCCCACGGCCCCCACAGCAGGCACGCGCCCTCCCGTGTCCGGCCTCACCCACGGTCCGTGCACAGGGCCGTGTCTTGACCCCGTGGGCCACTGACCGTGCAGCCACCAAGCTCAATTCTCCACCGTCCCTCCTCCCCGTTTTATCACGGAGGGTGAATTTGAATGAACAAATACCATCCCCGGTTCTCTACACGCTCTTCCTGCTAGAAACCCTGTGATTACATGTAGGAGAGCAGCAAAATGTGTGTTTGGGTGCATGAAAGCCAATCTCTTTGGGATCGTTGGTGAGCAAACTCGTTAAAGATAGTTCAGAATGAATAGTGTGTTCTATTTATTTGTGGTGATTATAGTCATTTTATAAATCTCATCTCTGTCTCTCTCACATTAAGATGCGAACGTTTTGTTGGCTACGTTTTTCCTTTTAGCCTCTTTCTTTCTCGGGATTCAGATGTCACCTTAAAAAACAAGGAGGGAGAGACGCCCCTGCAGTGTGCGAGCCTCAACTCCCAGGTGTGGGGGGCCCTGCAGATGAGCAAGGCGCTCCGGGACTCGGCCCCCGACAAGCCCGTCCCCGTGGAGAAGACGGTGAGCAGGTGAGAAGGTTCCGGAACCAAGGCGCCTCTGTGGCAAAGTGTTGCTAAACAGGGTGTTGAGAACCTGGGGTGAAACCTGCTCCTAAAATCTCAACGTCCCAGGCCAGAGTCAAACTGCCGGGTCAGGTGCTCACTGGAGCTCTGTCCTATTGCGTGTCACCCCCGCCGGGCAGAGCCTGTCACTGCCGAGGGTGACGCCCGGCCTCTCCCCGGCAGAGACATTGCCCGCGGCTACGAACGCATCCCCATCCCGTGCGTCAACGCGGTGGACGGGGAGCCGTGCCCCAGCAACTACAAGTACGTGTCGCAGAGCTGCGTGACGTCGCCCATGAACATCGACAGGAACATCACCCACCTGCAGGTCCGAGCCCGCGGGCGGGGCGGGTCCCGGCTCTTCCCCAGGCACCAGGGCTCCCGGGGCCTCCCAGAAAACCTCTCTCTGTGGTCGCCCCTGGAAAGAGCCGGAAGGCGGATGAAGATCCTGCCGGGAACAGGGCCCCGAGTCCCACGGTGTGTGCAGCCCTTGCGGCCCCACAGCGGTGCCAGCACCCCCGGCCTGGCGCTGCCCCCTCCCCGGGCACGGGCGAGAGGACCCTGTGGCACCTGCCGGGCGCTCTGGCTGCCGGAGCACAGCCCAGCCCTCGCCTCCGGGCCCACGGGCCCTGCGCACTTGTCCTGCCGTGTCCCTGCCCTTCCCGGCCAAAAGCAGACGTGTCCTCTGGCGCTGTCCTCCCCATTCTCACGGGACAGACGCTGCCTGGGGGCCGAGGCTCAGGGTTCGGCTTACCTGCCAGCCCTCCACCGTCCCCGCGCCACTTGCATCATAAGTGTCCCCACTTCCCCCCACCCCACCCTCCCGTCCCACTAGGGGCTCCTTGTCCACAGCCTTCCCACACCCTCAGCGTCTGTCTGTGGCCCAAGCCTCTGGCCACACCCCTCCCCCTAAGAGGCCACGCACCCCTGGGTGTCCTTGAGAAAGCGTCAGGGCCCGCGGGTGTGACCGGGAGGGAGGGGTGGAACATGCCTGCCCTGGCTGACAGCCCGTGCGTCTCTGTCCCCAGTACTGCGTGTGCATTGACGACTGCTCCTCCAGCAACTGCATGTGTGGCCAGCTCAGCATGCGCTGCTGGTATGATAAGGTGAGGCGCCTGCGTGGTGAGTGCTGAGGTTGGGGCTCAGGGAGACGGCACAGTGGCTCTCTCAGCTTGGGACTGTGCCCCCGGCTTTGGAAGGAGGCGAGTTGAGCATGGTGTGGCCCCAGAGGAAGGGGACGGGCTCAAGGCAGGCCATAGCCTAGGGGTGCCCAGACAGCAGCAGGGGAAGCCGCCACTGCTCGGCCTGGCTCGGCTGTGGGCGGTATTCTTGCCGCCGGGGTCTGCTAGCTCTGAGAGCTCTGCCCTGTGCTGGTTGGGTGCGAGTGGCCTGAGAGACACCTGTGGAGAGACAGGTTCGGACATGGCTGGACAGGGAGGGTGTTGTGGACGCCATGCAGGGAAGCTTGGTGAGCGCTGGTGGAGCCCGGCGTGAAGGTCGCTGAGGAGAGGAGGCCCCGGGCAGCCCAGGCGTGGTTTAGGGGAGAGCATAAGCAGATGAGTGTGAAGGCTCTGGGTTTCAAGAGGTCAGAGGTCATTCGTGGAAGCAGAAGCCAGAGGCTGAGAGTGGAGGCGTCAGGCTCTGGAGGAAGAGGGGATGGCCAAGGGTGGCGGAGTGCTCGTCACTCAACAAGGGACCCCGGGAGGGGCAGGGGCAAGGTGGCTGTGTGGCCGGGGCTTATCCTGTGCTGTGTCCTCGGGAGCCGGCCCTGCTGGGGGGCAGGACGAGACGCTGAAGAAAGCCCTGTGGTTCAGAGCAGCCCCTGGGCCGCCGGGCCACACGGTGCCTGCCTGGTGTCACCGTGCCTGCCTGGCGTTGCTGTGCTCCCCTGGCGTTGGGGTCAGGAAGGAGGGCAGGTGCCTGCCTGGGTTCCTCCAGAGCTAGGGCTTTGCAGGGCAGCAAGGATGAGGCTGCAGGAGAGTCCAGCAGGCGCCCACCACCTGGAGGAAGGGGAGCCCCACGGCTAGTGGCCTCAGCAGGGCTGAGAGGACAGGCGGAGGACCCCATGGTGCCTGGGGACTGAGATGGCCCCGTCAGCGGTGAGGACAGCTCTTCAGCCCTATCTGCACAGGCCTCTGCTTGGAGCCTCCCGTCCAGACCATGAGCGTGTAGCCTTGCCCTGCCGTTGCCCTCGGGTGTTAAAGTTTATAAGAAACTGTTGTTAAGTCAGTTTGAGGCCACACTGGGCACCCTGTAAAGCGCATCAGTGCCAGTTCCGTCAAAGTATGAGGGACCCCTGGCCTGACAGCGCGTCTGTCCGCAGGACGGCCGGCTGCTGCCCGAGTTCAACATGGCGGAGCCCCCCTTGATCTTCGAGTGCAACCACGCCTGCTCCTGCTGGAGGAACTGCCGCAACCGTGTCGTGCAGAACGGGCTCAGGTGAGGGCTTCCCGCAGGGCCCACGCTCTGCGCCTGCCGCGTCCGCCTGCGGGATGTGTGTTAGTGCGGGGCTGTCCCTGGCATACAAGAACCTGGTATGTGTGCGTGTGCGTGCGTGTGCACACAGGTGGAACCAGCGATTTACCTCAAAGAGCCCTTTGTCCTCAGTGCCATGAGCCGTGAGTAGCCAGTGTTGCTTCTGCCAGCTCAGACTGGGCTCTGGAGGAGGAACAGGCGGTCAGTCCATTTGACCTAATGCAGAGGGACAGACCTAATTCGTGGCACAGAGGTTACCTTTGTCACCATTCTTCAGCGGATTAGGGTCATCACAATTCTGTTTTAGTACCCAAATTATTTTCTAAAGATGCTGTCGTCTTTGTGTTTCTCCAGCAGCCAGAGTTGATAGTATTCTGACACTTTTCAGACCACGTGGACTCCTTGTTCCTAAGTCACTCGAGCACGTGGTCAGGCGAGGCTCACCCAGCACCCGGCCCTGGCTGGGCCTGGACCCCTCTTCCAGGCACCCCTCTCCTGCCTCCAGGCTCTGGTCTCGAGCTGTCCCTCTCTGAATGTGCCTGAGATCAGAAAACCTGAAGTCCCTGTGTTATAGGGGGAAAGTTATGCGCACTATAAATTTAGCTGAACACTGATTTTCATAGTATTGTGACTTGTTTTTAACCTTTGTGGTCTTGGGCCATGTTGGACTGGAGGACAGAGTGCCAGTGACCGGCCCACACTGGCTTCCCATGTGGCGCAAAGTCCTGGGGCGGAGGACAGATACTGTCTCCCCCAGTGCCCACAGGATATGGACACGTGCACAAATGGGTGCATGTGGTTCCAGGTTCTCAGCTTGCTGGGTGCGTGAGGCTCTGTGTCTGAGAGGTGCCCGAGACGTCCGGCGTTCCGGATGCAGAGCCAGTTTCTTCGTCTCGCTCTCGTATCAATGGCTGGGTTGTGCTGACCGTCGTGGCGAGTGGCTGAGGCATGGCCCGGCCATCTCCACTCTCACTGTTTTCCAGGGCAAGGCTGCAGCTCTACCGGACGCGGGACATGGGCTGGGGCGTGCGGTCCCTGCAGGACATCCCACTGGGCACCTTTGTCTGCGAGTGAGTGAGTCCCTAGGTCACCCCAGGTCAGCCAGCGGCAGCTGCCGTTTCTGGGACGAAGGCCCACCGGTGTCTGTGCTCCAGGAAGCCCCTCTGGGACCAGGCGTGTCCCTCCTGGCCTGCAGCCGGGTGGGGTGACGGGCTGCGGGCCCGTCCCTGCCCAGTGGCAGCCACTTGCGCTGCCTGCCAAAACCAAGCCCGTGCCGACTCCGGCCCTTCGCCACTGCTCTGGTTTCCTGCCCTTGTTGCTGTCTCACCAGCTCCTGAATGCGTCGAGAATGTCATCTGACATCGTTAGTCCCTCCCAGGGGGAGAGTCCTCTGGGTGCTGAGTCTGCCGCACCGCAGATGTAGACATTTCTCTGTTGCCATAGTCATCGTCTCCTGAGCCCTAACGCCTGGTTCAGTCACAGGCACGAGTCTCCAGGATGCCTGATAGCCTGTGCTGCGGTCACAGTTCCTTGGGGCTTCGTTCTGTCCTCTTAGGGCACAGAGGTGCTGACACTCGTGTCCCTGGCGGTGGTCAGTGCTCCTAGTTCTCACCTGTGCTCGCCTCACCCTGCAGGTACGTGGGGGAGCTCATCTCCGACTCAGAAGCCGACGTCCGGGAGGAAGACTCTTACCTATTTGATCTTGACAACAAGGTAAACATTTCGAGGGGCTGGGCATGAAGAGCTGATGGTGAGCTGTAGACCTTGGGCATGTTTGTTCTGGTTGCAAGTGCCCCGGTGAGGCCCGCGTCAGCAACGTCACTCGGGGGCGAGTGCCCAGTGCCACACGCCGGCCAGGCCCCCTGCTCCACACGGCCTGGCGGGCACCGTCAGCTGGGACCCTCAGCGGGGGACCCCGAGACATGCCACCGCCTTCCACCTGGCGTGCGGGTGTGGCCTCAGGTGTAGTGCTCCGGTCCTCCAGACCCTGCTGCTCCTCCCTGGGCGGGGCCTGGCAACCCCCAGGGCCTCCGAGAAGCCCAGGGGGACGCGTCTCTGGCTGTGACTGGGCAAAGCAGAATGGAGCCTCCTCTCGGGCAGAGGTTGAGCACACGTACAGTGGCATGTCCCTGGGTCCCCAGCCCACACCCTCGCCCTGCCACCAGGGGCTGGAATTGTGAGGGGGAGAGCAGGAGCCCGGTTTCTGGGGGTTTCTGAGGCAGGACCGAGGCGCTGACCCACCCCAGCCTCCACCTGCCTTTCTCCTGACTGGCTCCTACCACTGCTCCTGCAGCCACCTCTGCCTGTCTAAGGCCCTCTGAGACTTGCGGTCATTGCAGGTGGCAGGAGGAGAGGTTTCCTCATCTCTGACAGCCCCCAGACCACGGGGCAGAGGAAGTCCCTGGAGAGCAGGCGAAGCCAGGCAGGCCCTGGCACAGCAGCGTCCATGTGGCCGGCCGGGCCGGCCCGACGTAGACCCCTGCAGTCACCTTCAGGGAGTGACTGAGGTGATTTGTATTTGCTGAAGAGAAGCCGAGTTCCGGAAGGTCATGGTCCTCAGGCCCCTCAGCACACACAGCAGTGCTGGACCCCGGGGGACGGAGTCCCGTGTGCACACGCGTGTGCACACTGCACGGAGGTCCTCTGCCGGACCGCCGTTCTGGTCTCCTGTGGTGATTTGCCGTGTGTCCATTGGTTGCACGTGTGCCGACAGAGGTACTCCTGTCACTGGCGTGTGCTGCGGCACCTGCTTCCCTGTGTGGCTTTTCCCCCCCAATGCTGTTTTTTAATGAGCAGAAGTTCTCGTTTTTATTATAATCCAATTTGTCTTTTCCTCAATACTTTTTGGGTTTTGCGATGTCCCAGTTAAGTTGTTTGAAACCTGAGTATTCCCGGAAGCTGCACTATCAGCCTTCACGCCCGGGCCTGGCCTGGCGGGCCTGCGGTCGTTTGCCGTGTGGTGAGACCAGGGCCGAGCTTCTTTCTTCCCCTCGCGTGCATGCCTGCTTGACTCGGCGCCGTCTGTGGAAAAGGCTGTCCTTTCCCCGCCACTTGGAAGTGCGGCTTTTGTCGTAGCCCGGGGGTCCACGCCAGGGCTGCGCCTGCCCCATCCGTGTGCTGCCCGTCCGTGGACGGGGCCACGCCTTCCTCACCGTCACAGTTCACATCTTCTCACCTTCGCTTCCTGCCTTCTTACCGTCACTCCAGGAGTATCTTGCTCGTCCTGATTTCTGTATAAATTCTAGAACCAGCTGGACAAGTTCTACAAAGACTCCTGCAGGGATTTGGTGGGGATTGCACTGAACCCGCAGCTGGGTTAGGGGAGAGGGAGGTCTTTCCCGCGTTGTTGCTGGTCCACGAACATAGTATGTCTCTTCGTGTGGTGAAGGCCTCCCCTGACTACCTCCAACAGTGTGGATGGTTTTCTGTGGTATGATCTTGTATATCTTTTGTTGGTTTTTTATTTTTTAATCAAATGGGCTTTTTTTTTTCCAAGTCAACTTTATTATAGTTACAGTAAAACAAACTACTCTTAAATACATGGTTTTAGTCTTGACAAACATACATACCAGGGTTGAGTTTCCTTCTGTTATTCCATACAGCTGGTAGAAGAAGAAGAATGCAGATCTGTGTCAGGACCATATTTCGTTACTTTGATCTATTTGCGAATCCTCAAGCCAGTGCCACATTCTCTTGATTGCTGTAGGTTGACAGTAAATCTTGAAAACAGGTGGTACTAAGCCTCAAACTCTGTTCTTTTTCAAAACTTTTTAGCTCTCCTGTGTCCTTTGCGTTCCCACGTCAATCTGAGAGCCAGGGTGTCTACAGGCAGCGGCCATGGGGGCCTCGCTGTGACGCGGTGCCCGTCGGTCCGTGGGTCGCTGGGTCTTCTGCTGCCAGTGTCTGCATGTGTCCTGCTCTCCGCACTGCGTCCGGTCTGTGAGTTCTCTCAGCGGAGCCTTGTAGCTTTTGCTGTGTAGATCTCACACTGTACTTTGTTACGTTTATTCCCAAGAATTTCATGCTTTTTATGCTCTTATAAATGAGCTCTTGCTTTTTAATTTCATTTTCCAGATGTTAATAGTTGGTTTTTGTATGTTAACCTTGCTAAAGTTCACTTATTAATTCTAGTATCTTTTTGCAATATTCTTCAGGATTTTCTGCACATACTCGTGTCATGTGTGAGTGAAGACAGTTTTACTTCTTTTCCAGTCTTTGAACTCTCGTTTCTCATCCTGGCATTATGTCCTGGCTGGGACCTCCTTGCCTTGTTTTCTGTCGCTGGGGAAAACCGCTGTCTTCGCCCTGTGTGGTGTTAGCTTCAGCCTTTCAGTGAAAGATCACCAAGCTGTCGGCATTCGGTACCCTGCTGTGGGATGAGGTCCCTGAGCACCGGCCGGCTGCCAGCTGGGGGTGCTCTGAGCTCCTAGAGGTGGCTCATTCTGGAAGGCCAGCAGGGAGATGTCACACACAAGGGCCTGGTGCAGGGAGACTCTTGGGGCCATCCTGGAATTCTGCACTTGTATAAGAACGACCAGGCCAGATGGGGACACTCCGTCCCCCCAGGGTGCCTGCCTTTCCCGCACCCATCACGCCCGTCCCAATCTGCCCCTGTCCTGCAGTCCTGAGTGGAATCCCACAGCACACGGCCTCACGCCTGGCTCCTCTTGCTCAGCGTAGGGTGTCTGGGATGCACCGGGGTTTCCTGCAAGTGTCTGGTGTCGCTGCTGGTCGGGGCCCAGACCCCGCCTGTCCATTTGCCGGCGACAGCGCTCAGAGCTGCATTCGGCCCATTCGTGAGCAGAGCTGCCCCAGACGCTCCCGTGGGACTTGGTGGAGTGTGTCCTCGTGTCACTGCTGGGCCATGTGGTGAGTGCCGTCAGCTCCATGGCAAACTGCCAAGTGGAGCCCACCCTGTAGCTCTTGGTTTGTCTCCCACAGTTCTGCCAGGTATTGGGCTGGTTCTGGCTGGAGGGTGAGTCTGGCCGTCTGTCGTGGTCGGAAGCAAGAACCCCTGGGGTCCGAGATACTTTGTTGCTCTTCTAAGTGACATTTTTTTCACATTTGGTTGTTTGATATATAGAAATATGGTTGATTTTTAAAAATTCATCTTTTAACCTGTGACCTAAAGTCACATCTTAAGCATTATATTTGTGGCTGTTTGTGCCTGTAATATCACATCTTCAGCAAGCAAATTGCCGCCGTCTGTCTGGCTCCCGTGCTTGTCCCTGCTGGGGCCAAGGCGTTGGGGGTGCTTAGGCCACCCGTGTCCTTTCAGAGTCCCTTGCTTCTTGTGATGCTGGTGCTCACAGTTTGGGACACCTTTATCAGATAACAAAGTTTTCTGTCCCAGAGAGTTTCATGAATTGATGTTGAATTTTATTAATTTTCTTCCTAATCTATTGAAATGATCCTTTAATTTTTCTCTGTATTCTTTCCATGTGGTGAATAATCTGATCTTATATGCCATCATTATTAGACTTTTCATGATGTGTATATTTGAACCCTGAAACATCATTGTTGTCTGTGAGGTTGGTGTGGACCTGCCCGCTTGGCCAGGTTGTTGTCTGTGTGGCCGGTGTGGACCTGCCCGCGTGGCCGGGTTGTCCGTGTGGCCGGTGTGGACCTGCCCGTGTGGCCGGGTTGTCCGTGTGGCCGGTGTGTACCTGCCAGTGTGGCCGGGTTGTCTGTGTGGCCGGTGTGCACCTGCCAGTGTGGCCGGGTTGTCTGTGTGGCGGGTGTGCACCTGCCCGTGTGGCCGGGTTGTCTGTGTGGCGGGTGTGCACCTGCCCGTGTGGGGGTTGTCCTGTGTGGTGGGTGTGCACCTGCCCAGTGCGGGGGGCGGGGTTGTCTGTGTGGGGTGTGCACCTGCCAGCATATGGGGGTTGCTGGCGTAGGGTGTGCACCTGCCCAGTGTGGCGGGGTTGTCTGTGGCGTGGGTGTGCACTGCCATGTGGTCGGGTTGTCTGTGTGGGGTGTGCACCTGCCAGTGTGGCGGGGTTGTCTGTGTGTGGTGGGTGTGCACCTGCCCATATGGCGGGGTTGTCTGTGCAATGGGTGTGCACCTGCCCATGTGGCGGGGTTGTCTGTGTGGTGGGTGTGCACCTGCCAGTGTGGCGGGGTTGTCTGTGTGGTGGGTGTGCACCCGCTGACGTGGCCGGTGTGCTGTGGGGTTTCTGCCTTGCTTGTGTCTGCTGCCCTGGTATAGGATTCGTCCCTTCTGCCCGACACCTCTGGCACCTGGCATCACTGCGAATCTTTTCCTAGGGTCTGTTTTTTCTACTTACTGTTTGTATTTTTCCCTTGTGTCCTCACGTTCCTGATTAGTGTTTGTTTGGGTGCCAAACACTGCATCTGCAAACCTGCTTGATGAGAGCACCGGGTGGCGCAGTCCATTTCCAGGAACGAAGGTGGCTCAGAACAGAGTGCAGGCCTGACCTCCCCGACTCCAGCTGACCTTCGCCCCCGGCCCTGGTTCCTGGGAGCCCATCTCAGCCAGGTTGGGCTGCTGTAAACAATTGCCGCAGACTGGGCGGCTCAAACACCGGACATCTACTTCTCACACTCCGGATCAGGGCACCAGTGGACTCAGTGTCTGGTTCGGGCCCTGCTTCCTGGTTCACAGAGGGACATCTCTGTCCTCACCTGGGGCCCCTGTCACAAGGTCACAAATCCCAGGCATGAAGCTCCACCCTGGTGACACGGTCACCTCC